TGGCTTTATGCTTATCTTCTCATCCATCTCAGTTTTAATCTTCCTTGGTATGATGGTACTGACAGCAGCAAACAGCAATCGACTACTCAGACGTGATCACGTCCTCGGTTCTGCTACAGATCAAAAAGACAAACAAATAACATTGTCGCTCAATGTGACTAACCAAAGCTAGTCTACACTTGAGATAGAAACATGAACTCTGTCACATATTTACAGAAATTAAACAGGAACACACTTCTACTTGTTCTGTATTCTCTGATTTTCCTTCATGATGGTCTCTTAGATTTTGATTTCCTCAACTAACCAACTAAACTTCTTTGGTTTGGAACAGTTGTTTCCTAGATTTACAATCTTCTTCTCCAGAGTTGTTTCCCCAAAATATTGTAGGCTATTTTGTTATTATTTGCAAACATTCTCAACAAATTCACTCAATTTTACACCCATATTAATTAGTACGTAGTTGGGGCCAAATCGATCGGCTGTCAAAGCTGCACATTTTTCAGAAACTCAGGCATTCGCATCAACTACATTCTGATAGAATGCAGAGGCTGCAAATGCCAAGATTCTGAAAAACAACTCGCTGCTTTGACCGCCCAACAAGGTACTGATAAGGGTGTAAAAAGATTCGCAACCCCGAGGGTATGATACAAAATAGCCAATTATGTTAGGAAACCGCTCTGATGATGAAGATGGCAAATCTTCAGGAACCAAAAAAAAAAGACAACGAACAAATCTCCATGTTGCTAGTCAGTGAAGTAGTTCTTGAGTAGACTCGAGGGACAAATATAAATAGTTTGCAGATTTTATTAAATTGAGATTGATATTTTCTTTTAAGATAAAACAGGAGAGAATCATATTTGATGTTTTGAATATGATTGTATCAGATTGAGATTAATATTATGTTATTTCTTAAAGGAAAGAATCATATCTTACGTTTTACGTATGATTGTATTAGATTGAAATTGATATTTCTTTTCTAAAGACAGGAAAGCATATTTTTACGTTTTAAATATGATTGTATCAGATCATTGAGATTGATATCATTATTTTCTAAAAGAAGAAAAGAATCATATTCTCTGTTTTAAATGTTAATGTATCGGACTGAGATTGATGCGCATCATCTACCTGATCCGCATTTGTACTTCTCCTATGACCGCTTGATTCACACCGTCTTGTCTGTTTTCGCCGTCAAATTGAGGGAAATATATAAACATACGTGTCACATTTTTTTCTTTTTTATAATCATCATGAATATACGATACTTATTTCATTATACTGTATATGAATTTTTACATCTCCAACTCAGCAATCCCACTTGTGGAATTCAGTTTGGTAATAGCTTTTTCAATAGTTCTATTTGTTGATTAATCTGACTACAAAAAAACTTTTTGAAGTGACTCTCTAATCGATCCATCCACTTTGTGGAATTGCTCACAGCCCGAAGCCGTTGATTTCTATAATAGAAAATGTTTTGTGTAACAATATTGGAAGCGATTTAATAACAACATTAGGAGAATACACTTAATTAGTGTTGTTGAGCTCAATTATTTTACGAAATATTCTCTTAGTTCCTATCAATATATATGATGCTACGTAAACTGAATGTATAAGTTGTAGACTTTTTAGTGTTTAGAGTGGATAATTCAAATCCGTGTAGTCTATTGCGATAAACATAATTCAAAATCCTTAAAGATATATATTACAACTTTCAAAAAGATATAGGTAGATTTTTCTTTTTTTTTGAAAGAATAAGATATAGGTAGATTACCAAATAGGTTATTGTGAAAGATTCTGAAACCCCAGATTTAATAAAATCTAAAACCTCGTATAATAGAGAGAACACTTTTGACAAAAGTCTAGTGAAGATAAATTTAAATCCTTGCATACAATGGAAAGCACTTCGACAAGAGTCTTGTCAGGGAAATTACAACGGACAATAAAAACGTATCTAAAAATAAAATAAATATAGAGAACCAGCCAAGGACAAATTAATCCCATTACTATCCCTAAGCCAACTGTTAACCAAAAATGGTTCATGACAATTTCAAAATTATGGTCAGCCGTCGGACTGAAAAGTTGGACAATTGCAATAAGGCCAATGATGGACGACATGGTAACCTCCACAACTTTGCCCAATCCGAGCGTCATCAGAGCAAGCCCAATGGAGGGTTTTTAGAGTTTCTTAGGCCATGAATCCTTAAGAAAATTGTCCAAATAAATTAAAAATATGAAATCTGGTAAGAAACGTACCTTAGTTTAGGATTTTTTTTGGTTTTAAGAGTTCGTACGTGTCAATTTTTCATTGGTGTGTCTAATGAGAAAACAAATAATTGTTGAATTCACCATTTCGATTTCTCTCTTTGGTTTTGATTCTTCTTCCGTTCTTCGTCTTCTTCATCAACCTCTAGGAGACTCGTGTAGGTACGTACGTAGCTTTGAATCTCTTCTTGAAGTTTTCTTCTTCAAGATTGGTAGATTTGATAAAGATTTTTTTGGTTTTTCAAGAATCTGTTAGTTTAATTGCTTGTGGTTGTAGAAAAAATATCACAGAATGCTTGATTGGCATGCTTCTATGAATGGCTTCGGGGAGGAGAGAAGGCTATCTTGATTGGCATGCTTCTGTGACCAAAGATTCTACTAACAAGGACTAGAATCCACAAATGCAGTCTCCTCCATTACTTGAGGAACCAGATCCAAAGATTTTTTTTTTTTTTTTAAAGAATCCACTTAAAATAAATTTTTAAGGACTCTACCATTGGACAAATAAAATTTTAAGGATTCATCAAAAACTTTTAACTTTAAAATTGTCATAATTTATGATTAAAATATGTTTGAGGATCCTTTTAAGGACTCAACCATTGTTGTTGCTCTCATGCAGATTAACACGACAAATGCCTGCTCAAAACCCGCTCTTTCGGTAGGACTAAACTCTTTGGGAGGATGACTGGAGGAGGGTGACATCCAACCCCACATCTCACCCGCTTTGATAATTGCACCGAAAACTGCATACTGTATTATAAGGCCATCCACAATGGGAGAACTATAAGCATGGTCTTAGAACAAAATAATAAAAAGAGGAGAGAACAGTTGAGAAACAGACCCTCGGCCAGATCTGTTCTTGAAACGATCTTAGAGACAGGTGTCTAATTCTGATTGGGTTCAAATTTGGCAAAGGAAAAAAAGCCCCATTTCTCTTCTTCTTCCTCCTCCGAAATCTTCAATTTCACGGCAACAAGTGTCTAATCAACTTTTTAACAAAAAATCTTAACTACTGATCTTACATTTTTTTAACCATATTTTTACTCTAAGAACACCCAAAGGTGATCCCCCATTGAGGATGCCCTAAGATACTTAGCAAATTAAAGAACCTATATATACATTTTTGGAATATCTTTAGCAAATAAATCCTAGAGTTCCACCTTATTTCTGAGTCCATGCCATTAGCATTTGTTATTTAGTTTTACAAAATTTAAATAAAAGATATTCACCAAACGATATCTTGCATAATTTGTTTGTAAAATCTCTACACAATCTTTCCATATATCTTCAAAAAAAAATTCCGTGAATTTTACTCCACAATATATGCATAAAACCGATTTATAGCAAATATTTATATTAAATTTTGCATAAAAATAAAACTACTAATTTATAATAATCAAAATATTCACATAGAATATATATTAGTAGTATAAATTTAAATCATTCAAAGAACGGTATACCACGGGTGAGATCCTAAAATTATTGGATTTTATAACAATAATAATTTATTATCTTGGATTTTATAACACTAATAATTTAGCTAACGGAATAATATAGACGGGTTTATATGGGATAACAACTTTGGGTCGATATTAATAAAGAACTGTATATCACGGATAAAATCCTAAAATTAACAATCAAAATACAATTATACAACCTTAAACACAAAACAAAACATACAATATTAAAAAAAAATACAACTTAAAATTTTAAAAATTTAGTTATACAAGTATCGACCCACGGTATACCACGGAGTAAAATATTCAAAATTTTAAAATTGACCATACATCGTTACTTAAAAAATGTATGTTTTCGTATTTGGCTGCCCTCAGTCCGGTCCTGGGTTTTCCTCTCACAGGGCCAGCCCTGAGCTAAAGCTGGCAAAGCCCTTGCTTTAGGCGCCAAAAGTTATATATAATAGTAAAAGACATCACTTCTATAAAATATTATGTAGTGCAGTGGTTAGCCCCTAGGTAGTTGTCTTTTTGGTGCAAGGTTCGGGTTCGAGTCCTTAATCTGTTGTTTTGTAACTTTATTAAATGTGTGGGCTTAAGAATGCTTTGGGCAGCCAAATCTATTGAGCCGGTTCTGTCCTCTCATGCAAAATACGAGCAGAGATATCGCCATAACCACTATGGACAAATATAATGTTGTTTTCCAAAATCTTCTACGCTTCTTACACAATCCATATTTGCCATCACCACTTCACCGGCCTCCATTTTTTCCCATGCATTATTTTTCATCGTTTTTTTCTTTCACTAGCTAGACTTGGTGGTTGGTACCCTCTTTTCTTTACGCATATTTTATTATGTACATTTGGAAGTCAAACAAACGAAAAGAAAATTCCTTTTGATTAGGAAAATGAAAACAAACTATTTTAGATATTGTGTTGTTTGAATATTGTTAACAAAACTAATCCCGACTTAAAATGAAATATCTACAATATACAAGGGAAAATCTTTGCAAATTCTATTGTCCACAAACTAGCCTGGGCATATATATATCTTAATGAAAGTGGCTTTTTAGTTTAAAGTGAAAGTGGTTATTGGGCCTTAAAACACATTACAAGGCTTTTTTGCCGCTTTGCAGGTCCCACAATCAAGTGAGAGCGACGTAGGATTTGATTGGTAGCACTCTTCCAAGTGGTTGAGTCTGAATTGTTTTGTTTGAGACCAATAAGAGAGAAAGTGAGAAACGTTGAAACATATAATTTAAATAGATAAATGATATATTCGTTCACAACTTGTTTGAAAAAATAATTAGTTTACCATCGTCCATTTACCAAATTGATATTTTGAGGAAAATATCTTTCTTTTGGGAATCTTCTTACTAAAATCAAAAATATAATCAGATTTTGGATCACGGATCCATCAGTCTGGCTTAAAACACTGATATATAGATTTAATCATCATATGTCTTTACTTTATAATATTATTTTTCATTATTTGTCAACATATAAGCAGCACAACGTATAACATTAAATTGTTGGTGAAGTCATATAGATTTTTTAAATATAAACTGTACTGTGTATAATATATATATATATATATATATATATATATATATATGTGTGCGCCGTCGTGACGTAATAATAAGGATAATAGGATTCGCATGAATTCTTTATATAAGGAAGCTTCACGTAAGGCAACATTATTATCTCCCTTATTGAGAAGGGCAAAGGGAAGGGTCAACGTTGGTTAAGGCGACAACCCAGAATCCGAAAGCAATCCGCTCGAGAGAGAGTTAAGAAGGAATCTGCGTGTGGACACTGTCGAAACACGACACTTGAAGTGTTTGACAATTCTAAATCGTTTCGTTGCAGTATATCCAGGTTTATTCAAATTATATATAACTTAGTTTCTTTTCATTTAGGTTTTCTTTTTTTTTTTTTTTTTTTTAACAAAAGTTTTTCTTTTTATGGTATGATTTATAGGGAACTAAAACTTAAAAATTGTTAGAAATTAATCAGTTATAAGACATTATAAGCAAGAAATATAACACTAAAAAGTATGAAATTGCAATATATTGGATATCAAAAATCTTATTTCCTTATTTTTTTGGTCACACTTTCCTTAATCTATTTTATATAATAATCAATGGAAATGGTTTGATGTTAATTAACGAAGCTAATTGAACAAGAAATGTTGCTTCATTAAAAAAATAAGTGTTGATGTCAGAAAAAATGTTGATATGTATGTACAAGTTATTGAACTTGCCAAAAGTTTCTAAAACTGCCGCCTAATACTAACTAGTAACTTCCCCAAAATCACTTGTGTTTTGTACTAGTTAAATAATTTCCATTGGCTTTGATTTCTCTGCCTAATGCCTATGTACATGAACTCTTTCATTAGGTTAGGACTACAAAGAACAAAATAAGATCTACTTCATCGATAAACCGAGATGGAAATTCCTAGTCAAGAAATTCATATCAAGATTGATAACCCAAGATCAAGCAGCAACAAGAGAAAGACTAACCTCGCTGATGCCGAACCCATTGTCCTGATGTCTGTTTTGAGTAGTCTCCATGCGGGATATTTCAGAATAAGTCTTTCTCTGTGTAGCCAAGCATTGTTGTGGAAGATAATGGTCCATTTGCATAGCGAACTCCCGTCTATGGCATATTATCTCATGTGGTACCTAGCACTTGCAACACAAGTATCACTCTGTTTATTGTATGCCTTCAAGTGTATTTTCCTCTTTGACATGGTGAAGGAAGAGTTCTTGCACTATATTGGAGTGAACTATCTTTACGCTCCATACATTTCATGCCTTCTATTGCTTCAATCAGCTCCGATGATCAAACCACATAGCGTTTTGTATCAGACACTATTCTGGATCTTTGTTGTTCCAGTCTTGACCCTAGACACAAAGCTTTATGGACAATGGTTCACAACAGAGAAAAGATTTTTGTCGATAATGGCAAACCCGGCAAGCCAAGTATCAGTAATCGCAAACCTAGTGGCTGCAAGGGGAGCAGCAGAGATGGGTTGGAAAGAGTGTGCTCTATGCTTGTTCTCACTTGGGATGGTTCATTATTTGGTTATATTTGTCACACTTTATCAACGCTTACCAGGCGGAAACAATTTCCCAACCACGCTAAGACCGGTTTTCTTCTTGTTTTTCGCTGCACCAGCGACTGCAAGTCTAGCTTGGAACTCTATTTGTGGAACCTTTGATACTATAGCCAAGATGTTATTCTTCCTTTCACTCTTCATCTTTATGTCCCTGGTAAGTTAACGTCTTTACGATACAGTAAGAAACAGAAAACCGTATGAATAGACATTTTACCTTCTTCTTTCTTAACATTTTCAGGTTTGTAGGCCAAATCTTTTGAAGAAGTCGATAAAAAGATTCAATGTCGCGTGGTGGGCTTACTCATTCCCTATCACATTTCTCGCTTTAGACTCGGTTCAGTACGCGCAAGAGGTGAAAGACCATGTCGCTTCGGGCTTGATGTTTATCTTCTCATCCATCTCAGTTTTGATATTCTTCGGTGTGATGTTACTGACAGCAGCAAACAGCAAAAGATTACTCAGACGTGATCATGTCCTCTGGTCTGCTACTTGTCCAAAAGACAAATAAACATCGTATGCGAAATTTGTAAACCAAAGCTAATAATCTACCCACAAAAGAATGTATATATTGGTTGCACAACTAGCTACACAAGAAATTTCTGTTGGGAGATTAACCAACTACAGACTATGTAATACAATTTATAGAAATTTCTCTTTGTACTCTCTACTCTAGTTAAGAGACACATTTGACTATCTCTGAAATGTAAACCGGGAAAGCTGAATTGAACCGAATTATTCCCGTTTTAAACACAGTTAAATCAAAATTTACATGACTATGATATCCAATTCAACTGACTGACTCTATTCCAAAGGTTGGAGGCTATTAGTTTGATCTACCAATACCACAGACACATTTTGACTATCTGAATTGAACCGGAAATAATAAACCGAAGAATTTCCATTACATGATCTTAAACCAAATTTACCCGACTCTAATTTCAAAGCTAGAGGCTTTTTAAGTTTTGATCGCTGCAAATTTCGCCGGAGACGACGATGATCCGATCACGCGGTGTCTTGTTGATTTTCAGGAAGGTGTTGTATCGATCGTCTTGTCTTAAGTGTTTATATGCAAACTCTTTCTCTACTTCAGTTTCGTCAAGCTTGGGTTTTCGAGCGACGAACAAAGAGTTAAACCAGATGATAAGATCGGGATATATCGCCGAAGCTAGAGAGATTTTCGAGAAATTGGAAGCGAGGAACATCGTGACATGGAATACGATGATAAGCGGGTATGTGAAAAGGCGGGAAATGACGCAAGCACGGAAACTGTTCGACGAAATGCCTGAGAGAGATGTTGTGACTTGGAACGCGATGATTTCAGGTTATGTTTCATGTGGTGGGATTAGGTTTCTTGAGGAAGCAAGGAAGCTGTTTGATGAAATGCCTTCAAGAGATTCTTTTTCTTGGAACACGATGATCAGTGGGTATGCTAAAAATCGGAGGATAAGTGAAGCGTTGTTGTTATTTGAGAAAATGCCTGAGAGAAATGCTGTGTCATGGAGTGCTATGATCACTGGTTTTTGTCATAACGGTGAAGTGAACCGCGCGTTTGATTTGTTTCGGAGAATGCCTGTGAAGGATTCGTCTTCTCTATGTGCACTTGTGGCTGGTCTTATTAAAAACGAGAGACTTGAAGAAGCTGCTTGGGTTTTGGGTCAGTATGGGAGTTTAGATTCAGGAAGGGAAGATTTGGTTTATGCTTATAACACTTTGATTGTAGGATATGGACAGAGAGGACAGGTAGAAGCAGCTCGATGTCTGTTTGATCAGATTCCTGATCTCTGTGATGATGATGATCATGGGGGAGCGTTTAGAGAGAGGTTCCGTAGAAATGTCGTGTCATGGAATTCTATGATCAAAGCTTATTTGAAAGTGGGTGATGTGGTGTCTGCGCGGTTGCTATTTGATCAGATGAAAGACCGCGATACAATTTCTTGGAACACTATGATTGATGGATATGTACATGTTTCTAGGATGGATGATGCTTTTGCTCTGTTTTCGGAAATGCCAAACCGTGATGCACACTCATGGAACATGATGGTCTCGGGTTATGCTAGTGTTGGCAATCTAGAGCTTGCTCGACACTACTTTGAAAAAACACCTGAGAAAAATATAGTCTCGTGGAACTCGATTATAGCAGCTTATGACAAAAACAAGGACTACAAAGAAGCTGTTGATGTGTTTATCCGGATGAACATTGATGGAGAGAAGCCTGACCCGCATACTTTAACTTCTCTTCTCAGTGTATCTACCGGGCTTGTGAATCTACGTTTAGGAATGCAGATGCACCAAATCGTTGTCAAGACTGTGATCCCCGATGTTCCAGTCCACAATGCCCTTATCACTATGTATTCAAGATGCGGTGAAATAATGGAGTCGAGGAGAATCTTCGATGAAATGAAACTCAAAAGAGAAGTAATCACATGGAATGCAATTATAGGAGGATATGCCTTTCATGGTAATGCCTCAGAGGCCTTGAATCTGTTTTGGTCAATGAAATGCTACGGGATACATCCTTCTCACATAACATTCGTCTCAGTTCTGAACGCTTGTGCTCACGCGGGACTTGTTGATGAGGCTAAAGAACAGTTTTTGTCCATGATGAGTGTGTACAAGATCGAGCCGCAGATGGAACATTATTCCTCACTGGTCAATGTAATCAGTGGACAAGGGCAGTTTGAGGAGGCCATGTATGTGATAAAGAGTATGCCTTTTGAGCCAGACAAGACGGTGTGGGGTGCACTATTAGATGCTTGTAGGATTTATAACAATGTAGGGCTTGCACACGTTGCAGCAGAAGCAATGTCGAGACTTGAACCAGAGAGCTCAACACCTTATGTACTGTTGTACAACATGTACGCGGATATGGGACTATGGGACGAAGCTTCTCAAGTGAGAATGAACATGGAGAGTAAAAGAATCAAGAAGGAGAGAGGATCTAGTTGGGTTGACTCTTCAACGTAAAAAGCAGCTTTTTTTTTTGTTCAGTGGATCAGAATTAAGATAGAAACTGATAAGAGGTAAACTTGAAAGTTCTCTCTTTTCTTAATACTCTTCATCAAATTTGGACTAATATTTCAACGACACCGTTTTAGGAATCCCCACGATTCTTGTTTGATTCTCTTTTTTTTTTTCCAGTGCTCAAAAATAAAATAAAAAGAATATTTGTCTAGATTAATTTAAAATTTGATGTTTTTCTTTTTTGCAGCCATTCAAATTATTGGTGGCTTCATATTCACCTCTTACAATACATACACACATGTATCTATAGCTTCTGCTTCATCCAATTCTTTCCTGGAGATTAAAAAACCAAAAATTTGCATATGAATTGCTGAATCTGAATCTAGGTTTCTCAAAAGGGTAAGCCTTTTTTGTTCATAACTTTCCTTTTAATCTCAGATGAATTTTAAATGATTGTAACTATGCAGTGAATTGGTCCTGTGATTCTGGTAGTGATTAGGAGCTTCTTGAGACTTTACAAAGATCAGAGGTTTTGATTTTCTTTTTTAGATAATACAAATCTTATGATCGCAAATTTAGCTTATCTCCAAATTCAAATCATTTGAGTTTTTTTTTTCCACTTATAGAAATCTCTAAGGACTAAGAGTGAATTGAGATGAAATTAGGGTTTCAATTTGAACAGGAAAGCTGAACTTATTTTCTAGAACATCAATCAGTATCTTCGACTCTTATACATCTTGATTCCTAATATAGTTGTGTTATTCAAAGGAAAAAACTTCTCTCTTATGCAGATTAGGGCACTGCTTCATTGATATGGTTGAGAAATGTTAGTTGCGTATCCTTCGGGAACTATCGACAAATTCCAAATCTCTATTAGCTGCAATGTCGCTTTGCGCAGATTCAAGACCGCGCCTTTTGGTCCTCTGATTAGTTGTTCTGTCTCTCCAAGATCCATAGTTCCTTGTAGGAATGTGGACTGTTATCATTCATTTTTTTCTCCAAAAGGTCAAATTCAGCCTCGAAGGAGATGGATGGTTAGTAATTAAGTTTGGGTCTCTTCGATAAAAGTTTTTTTGTACATCCATAACACAGCTCCTAATCTTTTTGTATTTGTTCTTTTGATTTCATCAAGTTTTGTAATTCACGCAACAACTCGATTTCATCGGATGATGAGTACCGTTCATCACGCAACATAGCTATAAGTCTTTTAAGACGTTACAGGACCGTGATTGGACGCGGTGAAGGCGAAACCTTAAAAGTAACTTCCCTTTTTTATTTGCGTTATTCTTGCTTTCTTCTCGATTGTATATCCATCTTTCATTTATTTGTTTGTGTGTGTATCTTAAGGAATTCATATCCGCTGGTGTGAACGCATATGCGCTTGGTTGCACAGATGAAGATTTGAGAAAAGAACTAATGGCTATGAAAGATTCGGGTTTAGAGATTGAAAGAATGGAGAGTTACGGCGGAAGCACACAGACTAAATCCAAAATTTTGCTGTCCGAGGTTAGTTAGTTTGTTAGTTACAACGAAATTGTGATATCATTGGTTATTATATAAGCTAAGTCGTATCAGATCTTAGCTCTTCCCTATCAATTTGAACTGGCGGTTTAATTCCGCAGGTAGATGAATGCATATTGTGGCTTAGGATTGTATTCATCACAATCTTGTGTACACCGCAACCAACAGTCGTAAGATGGTCATCGACTCCTTCGGTTTCCGATGAAATTCTAAGCAAATGGAGAGGCTTTTGCGCGGTCATAGCCAATGCATACTATATTAGAGGAATGGCATGGTAAGATCAATTTATTCGAGTTCGGTTTGATTCTGTCATTTTCTAATCCATTCTAAGACGAAAATGGAATGTTTGTAAAGAGTGTGAAATCTATGCATATTTACGAAAAATGCCATCATTGGACCATGGTGTGATTGTAGGCTGCCGGTGAAAACTCTTCAGTTGGAGCAGATGGCGGTGACAGGACAAGCGGAGGAGCCGTCGGTTGTGGCCAGCCGAATGCGACTGGTCTTTAGCACGCTCGAGGTTAGTCTCGTTGTATCTCTCTTATGAAAAAGTGAATTGTTATTATATTTCCTCTGTTTCAAAACGGATTGTGATTTTAAATTCGCCAAATGTTGCGTCAAGAGTCAAAAATCATCGGAATGTTAGGTTTTTAAAACCTAATTCTTTGTTTATCATATTCGTAGGTAGTGAGTCCTCAATGGCCACGGGTTTAACTATGAAGTTCTGCATATTGCAATATACGAGTTATGAGGTATCTTTGTTTTGTTTTTTGAATTTTCTGTTCTTCAAAATGTTTTTACCGTCTTGTAAATGGGTGTAGGAGATATAGTTCATATAGTTAATCCTTGAATTACAAAACTGTAAAATTTCTTTCTTTCTCTCTAAACATGATGTTCTAAAATAGAGTGGGGTTGGAGATGCTCTAATAGATTCTTATTTCAATTTGTTGGATCTCAATTCAGATATAACATTATGTTCAGAGATAGAGAATTCGTTTGTAAAACACACATTCTAGTATTTTGGGACCAAAAAATGATATAGGAGACACACATTCTAGTATTTTCATGTTTTTACGTATTAAAAACGTGATTCCGCTATTTTTTGGCATTCAAAAAAACTAGGCTTGGTATTTGGTATTATTCTGCAGAAAATTTTATGGAAAATTTGCACCAATAACATACAAAAAATCTATAATTAAGTAAATAACCAACCAAAAAAAAGCCAATGATATTGTGTGTAATTTTTGTATTTTGGACCCTTTTGCCCTTGTGTCTCTCTTCTTTTGTTTTTACGTAATACCTATCCCATTTTATTTGTAACTGTAAAATATTAGCTTTGATTACTGTTTCTTTGGGGAGAATCAAATTTTGAATCTCTTTCCAGAATTTCAACTTTACGAGAAAAGTTCCAACGACAGTCACCACCACCACTACTACTACCTCCACCACCATCGCCGTTGTCCTAACCACCATCGACGTCACCATCACCACCACTATATCACCACCACCATGCCATCACACCACCGCTACCACAACTATGCCATCACCACCATACCGTTACCATCATCATCACCAAGTTATTACCGTCACCACCACCACTACCTACATTTTATTACAAATGTTTCGTTCTATACTATTTCATTGGATTCTATACTATCTCATTTATGTGTAGAAAGATAAATACTATTCATTATTTAAAAAAATCAAATCCGATTTAAGAAATTCAAGTTGTGTTTGATGCAGAAAAATAATTATATTTGTTTTAAGTAGATTTGAATTTTCGAATCATTTTTTTGTAAAAAATATGTTGCAAAAAAGTATTAAGGGGTAAACATTATCATATTTAAAAATATAGAGGAAAACAAAATAAAGATAATTCTTTACTTTTCTCATTTGCCCCGTACCCTCAATAACTCCATTTTAGTCATTTCACAATTCATTCATGTTAGTTACTTAATTTTTCAAATTAATATGCTATATTCTTAATATATTTATAAGAAATGGTTATAGAGCAAATTCACCCAAATTTTATTCAAATAATAAAATTTTTGGCTATTCGATCGTTTGTCTATTTTGCTATTCCCATATTCATCCGACGTAATAGACAAACCGAAAGTAGAATTAGAATTTGCGACTTGAAGGAATCATCTATTTCCTAAACAAAATCCACCGGACTCACTTTAACTAATACTATGCGGATTTACTTATTATAACTATTGTAGTTCAATACGAAACATATGACAAGCATAAGTATATTGTGGCTAAGTACATTCAATGGACATATCACACATAAGACGAGCATCGAATAAGAATGTTAGAATAAAGGTCACACATAATAATACTAGATACCATTTAAGCTTCAATGAAAGACATTGTCAAGAATCCTATAGCAGTTTATGAAAGAATTCTCTACCGTATTGATGTGGCCAACATTGGCTTATATACACATATCATTTAACCTAATGTACAAGAGCAACAATATAAACTTGTGGGCTAAGACAGAACAAACCGAGGCCCATATGGCCCAATACCCCCCCTCAAGGTCTCAAGGTGGAGTGTGAAGGTTCTGAACACCCATCTTGACAAGAAAAGCTTCAAATGCAGTCTTTCCCAATGCCTTAGTCATGACGTCTGCCAGTTGTGAAGTAGTAGAAACGTGTCTAGGAACAATGGTGCCACGCACAATCTCGTCACGTATAAAATGCAGATCGTTCTCTATGTGTTTTGTAACCTTGACATAAATTCATTACTTAATTTACTTAAATTCATTTAACCTTGACATAATCGTAAATTTCAACATCTTATGATGACAAACTAAAGGTAGTAAGTAATATTCATGATCTTTACGTAATGTTCTCAAATAAGATATATATTTGTAAACCGTATAATATCGTAATTATATTTTGAAAATAGTATTATAGATATTGAGGGTTTAATATGTTAATCTACGAAATGGCTGTCCACACATTTTTTCGGGCTAGGAGAACAATATCAATAGAATTGTAATTATATGCTTAGATAGATTTATCATTTATATCTTAGCAAAAAATGTATAATTATATATAAATTCAAAAAAATGATGTCACGCTCGAGGGCCATCAAACATTTATGGGATGTTGTAAGCATATATATATTTTAGATAAATTAGGTATATCAGATTCTTTAACAAAATAAAATAAAAAATCAGGTATCTCAAAACTTGACACATTTCATTTATGTACTCAGAATGTTCTTTCAAAATAATAATGTTCTACACACATACAGTATATGTAGATAATCTAAATCCATATGTGTCGTTTTTTAGATCTCAATTCATAAGATTCAATGCAATCCTTTGGTGTTAGTAAAAATAATCTAAAATGAAATTAAGTCAATTTTTTTTCTTCACGGCACCGGTATACTCTTACTTTAGGCAAATAACTAATTAAATATTTGATAGTCACATGATTAAATCACAAGACAATTTAGAAACAAATAGTTTAAAATTTATAATGGAGACTGATTTTGGCAAGAAGTGTTTAGATGGTACTATTAATTTGACATCTAGGTAAGACCCATGTTAGGCGCTTATCGGGCGGTGAGGGTGGGCGTAGCGCCTAGCAAGAAAATCGGAGATTAAACGGGGATTAATTAATCGGGAACTAGTTTTAAGGCAATTTAATATTTTAAAAACATATTAATCCATTATAAATAAGAAATTTATATAATATTGTTTTTAAAATTGTATTAAACACATGAAAACAAGAATTTAAGGTCAAACTTATGATTTTTATACAAATTATGAACATAAGTGGGACATTTTGAATTTTAGATCAAAAAAAGAAAAACAAAATGTAAAAAAAAAAAATTGGGCTAGGCGCCGTCTAGGCGGTCTAGGCGGACAAAAATTGGATCACCGATTTTTTTTAACGACTTGGACAAAATCGCTGCGGTCCCCATCCGATTTTTAAAACAGGGGGTAAGACTAGTCGTATATGTTAAAATATTACCTATTGCATTAAAGTATATACTCCCTCCGTTCTTTTATAAATGATGTTTTAGGAGAATGCACACCGATTAAGAAATCATTTAATTTTTGTTTATTTCTAAACAAAAACATCATTTATTATCTAATCAACCAATGGAAAAATAATCTGCATAATATAAATCATCAAAATCAATAAAAAAACTAATTAATATTGCATTGAAAACTGAAAACATCATCTATTTAAGAACAAAAATAAAAGCTTAAAACATCATTTATATTAGAACAGAGGGAGTATTTTTTTCTTGTAAGAAATGAACTCATATCCTAATAATTACATGTGAATACATAGAGGCTAGGGATGTGGGCGTAACACAGCACAAAGCACTTCAAAAGAAATAAAAAAACATCTTAATTAGAAAACAAAAAGGAGAGAGATGAATGCTAAAAAAATTCTTGTGCTTCTTTTGATTGGAGTTGTGTGTACCACTGTTGGTGCAATTAGGCACCTCGAAGAAGGATCCAAAGAGACCGAATTAGGCGTCTCTATTCCCAAAGCTACCAAAGGCGCTGAGTTTACTGTTACTATATATACTCAGTCTATCGGTGATGGCAATGGCTATGCTGATGCTAAAATAAAGGGTCGCAAAGATTCCAGCAGCAGTGCAAATGGAAGCGGCTATGGAACTACCAGCGGATTTGTCATTGCGAAGGGTCCCAACGCAACAGCTTTTTCTAGGAGTACTGCTTTTGGTCGAGGCCGTGCTGATGCTGCAGCGGGTCGCAAAGGTGCCACCGCCAAAGGAAACGGTGCTGGAGGTGGCACAACTGTTACATATGGCAGCACCGGGCCTAAACCGTGAGGTGATCGTGCTCATTTCTCCGCGTATAAATATATTAATAATATTCTACAAACCCAACAATATCATTTGTATTCATAAATAAAAGTAGAGATTGTCACCTTTATATATTATGATGCTACTCTTTCTGTGATGTATATCGTTAAATAAAATAAATGCAATAAAAATCTTCTTAAATGAAGGAAAAAAAAATCTATGAAATAGTGATCTTCCTAAATAATAGATATGGTGTGATCATACGACCTTGTTTCGATGAACCAACAATCTAGCAAAAGAACAAGAAAAAGTGTTGATAAACCGATCATTGTTGATAAACCGATTTAATGATCGGTATGTGCCTAATCAGTTTGTATACACAGTAGGCTAGAAGACATGACTGCATGAGTGACTATCGTGGTTTAGGAGAGGCCACAAAAATCAGTTTAGTCTAGGGAAACATAACACAGATAAGGTTTTTGTAGAGTTGATAGGTTTTCAAAAGTTGATAACAATAATGTAATTATGTAAGAGTTACGATAAAAATCTGGGTGACAAAAAGATTATGTAAGTACTTAGTTAGTAATACTACGAAGTTTTTTACATCAACCATTAGACTACATATCAAATTGGTTTTATTAACCAAAATAACAACCTCAATAAATGCATTTTGCACTTTTGAACGGTTGTGTCTCTTTGTCGTAACTTTCCGTTAAAATATTAACGGTTATTTTTTCGGGTGTGTTTTTTATCGCAACTCTTCATTAAAATATTGACGGGTTTTTTTCGGTTGTGTCTTTTATTGCAACTTTCCGTTAAAATATTGGTTGTTACTTTATTCGTTTGTGTCTTTTTATCGCAAATTTCCGTTAAAATGTTGACGGTTATTTTTTCTCGGTTGTATCTTTTTATCTCAACTCTTCGTTAAAATATTGACGGTTAATTTTTTAGTTGACGGTTATTTTTCGGTTGTGTCTTTTTCTCGCAACTTTTCGTTAAAATATTAACGGTTACTTTTTTCGTTGACGGTTATTTTTTAGTTGTGTTTTTTTCTTGCAACTTTTTGTTAAAATATTGACGATTACTTTTTTCGTTTCTGTTTTTTATCATAACTTTTTGTTAAAATATTGACGATATTTTTTTCTCGATTGTGTCTTTTTTTTGTCTGTTAAAATATTGACGGTTATTTTTTTCTCGGTTGTGTCTTTTTATCGCAATTTTTTGCTTAAATATTGACAATTATTTGTTCTCGGTTGTATATTTTTATCGCAACTCTTCGTTAAAATATTGACGGTTACTTTTTTCGTTGACAGTTATTTTTTTTGTTGTGTCTTTTTATCGTAACTTTCCGTTAAAATATTGACGGTCATTTTTTTGTTTGTGTCTTTCTATCACAACTTTCCGTTAAAAGTTTGACGGTTATTTTTTCTCGGTTGTGTCTTTTTATCGCAACTCTTCGTTAAAATATTGGCGGTTCTTTTTTTCGTTGACGATTATTTTTTTGGTTGTGTCTTTTTATCGCAACTTTCCGTTAAAATATTAACATTAATTTTCTCGTTTGTGTCTTTTTATCGCAACTTTTCGATAAAATATTAACGGTTATTTTTTTTCGGTTGTATCTTTTTGTCCTAGCTCTTTGTTAAAATATTTACGGTTACAATTTTTCATTTATGGTTATTTTTTCGGTTATATCTTTTTATCGTAACTTTCAGTTAAAATATTGACGGTTTCTTTTTTTGTTTTTGTCTTTTTATCGTATCTTTCCGTTAAAATATCGACGGTTTCTTTTTCTCGGTTGTGTCTATCGCAACTTTCTGTTAAAATATTGATGGTTATTTTTCTCGGTTGTGTCTTTTTATCGTAACTCTTCGTTAAAATATTGACGGTTATTTTTTTCCGTTTGTGTCTTTTTATCGCAATTTCGTTTAAATATAGAGTGTTATTTTTTCTCGGTTGTGTTTTTTTTATCGCAACTCTTCGTTAAAATATTTACGATTACATTTTTCGTTGACAGTTATTTTTCCTGATGTGTCTTTTTATCATAACTTTTCGTAAAAATGTTGACATTTACTTATTTTGTTGTGTCTTTTTATCGCAATTTTTCGTTAAAATATTAACGGTTATTTTTTCTCGGTTGTGTTTTTATCGCAACTTTCCGTTAAAATATCGAAGATTATTTTTTTCGGTTATGTCTTTTTATCGCAACTCTTCGTTAAAATATTGACGGTTACTTTTTGTGTTGATGGTTATTTTTCTGGTTGTGTTTTTATACTTTTTGGTTTTGACCCGCTAGAATTTTTCTTCTCTATATTATAATTCTTCGTTAGTTATTTTGTCACTTATAAATAATTTTATATTCACAAAAAATGTTTCAAAAGTGTTTTTTAATCATAATTTTGTTTTTTACATTTTTATTCATAAATTTTTTTTAATATCTTTAGAAAATATTTATGATATAACTTTAAGACATAGTTAATTTAATACCTAAAAATAATAAAATATATTTATTGAAAATGAGTTTTCCGCGATATCGTGGAGTTCATAACCTAGTAATAATTATAAAAATAGAGAAAACAATACGAAGATTGATAGAGATAACAGAGATTTGACTTAGACCGAGAAAATCAATCAAGAGAAGATATAATATATCATTGAGAATATGATAATTATTATTATTGCAATTATTTATCATCAGTAGCCATTACAGAGAATAGTACGTAGCATTTCATATATAATAAGTAAAGGTGACAATCTCTGGTTTTATTTATGAACACAAAAGAGATTGTGAGTTTGTAGTTTGTAGGATATTAATAGGCTTGAGCGATAAGCATGAGATCACCTCACTCTCAATTCTTCTTTTTTCCTTTGCCCTTCTTCTCAGAGGAGCCCTTCACACAGGAGCCGGAACCTATGGAACCACCTGCACTTGAAGAAGCAGCTTTGTGGTTCGCTGCAGCTTTAGACCCTCCTGTAGAGGATGAACCACTTGTAGAAGAAACTCTTGTCTTGTGACCCTTGGCATCGACATGGCCGGTGGTACTTGTGTAGGCACCTTCGGATGCATCGCCCCTTGGACCTTTGGGACCCTTAGTTGCACTGGCAAAGCTAGACCCCGAAGTGATGCTGTCTGTTGTGGCATTAGTCGAAAGCTGAGCTCCAACGCCTTTGATAGTAGATTTTGAAAGAGAGGTACCTAATTTGGTCTCTTTGGACACTTCTTCGGCCTGCCTTGCGGTGACAATGGCAAACAAAACACCAATCACGAGAAGCACAACAAACTTTGGGACATTCATCTTTTTTTTTTTGGATTAAGTTGTGTGTTTGTGGTGAGTTGTGTTGTGTTCTTCTTCCCAAACCATAGCCTTCTACATATACACAAACTCGATACACTTGTAGTTATTATGATACGTGAGCATTTCTTATTAAACTAGTTTATTTGATTAGTAGCCTAGTAGGTGATTACCCGTAGAACTCTATACGTGCATGTTTAATTTACTTTCTTGATGCTTATTGTTAAAGATGATTTCACGTTTTATTTTCATTTTATACACTTTAAAAATCATCGGCTTTTAGTTTAGTGGTACTTCCTAAGACCTTCCAAAGGTTGCGGTTTCAAGGACTCTAAACTACAAAACTCCAAGCCATCGACGCAATGATGATGAAAGATAGTTTTATTGTTTTCCGCATTGCTCCTCCTTCTCGTTATCAATTTTTTTTCATTTTTGTTTCTCCCTCAACGGGCATTGGGGTAGACACATCTTCACCTTGCAGTCGTCTTCGCTCCGCATTGAGTGGCCAAATGGGTCTAGAATAGTTGGCTTACGTCTTCGTCTCGACTTTGGCTTTGGCATCAAACTGTTCTTGTAAATCATCTCCTTTTTTTTCATGTACCTAATATATGCTCTCTTACTTTCTATCAGTCTTTTTCTCCTACTACTTTCAGTGACTTCTTCCAACATGATCGTTCTCCCTAAGCTCTCCTCTCTCTAGTTGCATCACTCAACATATATATCTTCGATTTAGCCCTTATAGATCTTAACGCTGATGTTTCATGGAATAATTAGGAGTTTCATACTTGGCTGCTACAAGTGCTTAACCTTTTGTGTTAGCCTTATATATGTACATGTGACGAAACAAAAACAAAATGCCAACATGATATTATATTTTAAAAAATATATATATATTTAACAGATTTCACCAAATAGCAAAAGAAATTGAATTTTTGTTCGAAGTAAAATAGAAAATACATGCTAGTTGTTAAGTGTTAAATGAGCTTTTTTTCTTTTTTCTTTTTTGGCAGACAACATGGAAACTTATAGTCTTGTTGTTAAGCTTCTACTATGATATTGGTTCTTCATGTTGATACATTTATTATTGAATTAAGATCATAGAGTATACACCTTTGATCAAGAACTTGTGATTATAAGAACACCTTTTCTTATTACTTTTGAAACTGACTCAAAACAAAAGTACACAAATCTCTCAATCTCTTAACTCTCATAAACTTCTCATATGGTTTACCACAACTAGGTAACTCATATTTATACACAAAACAAACGAAGACCTAATCCTAACTTGATTATGAATTACAAAGATATTTTCCCTAAGTTTTAGATAACTCCTAAAACTTTATCTTTATCCACAAGTTAACTCATACCTCAAGTTAACTTTAACCAAAGACCAAAAGCTTAACTCAAGCTTAACTCAACATTCACCCCTTTAAGCTTAAGAGCTTCTTCTTTAACATCTTGGACTCCTATAAGATCTCTCATTTCTTTAAACTTGATTCTCCCGAGAGCTTTTGTAAGAATATCCGCCTTTTGTAGTTCACCGGGAACATGATCCACTTCAACTTGTTCATTTGCAATACACTCTCTGATGAAGTGATATCTCTTATGGATGTGTTTACTGCGCCCATGGAAAACATGATTTTTTGTGAGATCAAAAAACACGATTAAGATCAACACCTTCTCACAAGCTTCCTCAATGATTTCCCCTAGAAGTTCCTGCAACCAAATGGCTTGCTTTGCAGCCTCTGTTGCTACCATGAACTCTGCTTCACAGGATGATAAAGCAACTGTTTCTTGCTTTTGAGAGCACCAAGTAATTGGACAATCATTCAAGTAAAAGATATGACCTGTTGTGCTTCTTCCATCATCCTCATCAACATTGTGACTGCTATCACTAAAACCAATCAACTCTGTTTTATCCTTTCGACCAAATGACAGACCATAAGACTTTGTTCCCTGCAAATACCTAAGTATTTGATTTAAAGCTGCTCCATGAGATTCTTTAGGGTCATGCATATATCTGCTCAAAACTCCTACACTATAGGAGAGATCAGATCTTGTATGTAGTAAGTATCTCAGACATCCAATATTCCTCCTATATTCCTTTTCATCTATACTTTTCTCGTCTTGTGCTTTACTCAGTTTCAAATTTGCAGTCATTGGTGTATGCACAGCACTGCATTCCTCCATTCTGGTCTCAGCTAGTATTTTGGATGCGTACCTCTCTTGTCTCAACATGATTCCTGATTCATGCTGTATTACTTCAATACCAAGGTAGTACGTGAGCTTCCCTAAGTCACTCATCTCGAATTTCTCAGACATTCTTCTTATAAATTCAAAGATCACACTTAAGCTAGAGCCTGTTACCAGAAGATCATCTACATAGACTGCCACGACCAGAAGTTGTTTATCTTCTTCCTTTCGATACAAAGATGGTTCTTTAGAGCACTTAACAAATTTTAACTCCATAAGTATCTGATTTAGCTTGTTATTCCATGCCCTAGGGGCTTGCTTAAGTCCATACAAAGCTTTGTTTAGCTTGTATACTTTGTCTTCATCTCCTTCAATCATAAACCCTTCTGGTTGTTTTACATACACAGTCTCCTTTAATTCATGTAAAAACGCCGTTTTTACATCAAGATGATGAACTTTCCATCCGTGTGATGCAGCCAAAGCAATGATGAACCGTATTGTTTCAATGCGAGCTACATGTGCAAAAACTTCATCGTAGTCTACTCCATGTTTCTGAACATATCCTTTAGCTACTAATCTTGCCTTGTATTTGTTGATACTACCATCAACATTACGTTTTATTTTGAATACCCATTTGAGGCCAATGGGCTTAGTTCCAGCAGGAGGAGAGACTAGATCCCATGTCTTGTTTTTTGTTATTGATGTGATTTCTTCTTGACATGCATCTCTCCATTCTTTCAGCTCCTTTGCTTCATCGTAATCCCATGGTTCTTCATTTAGGCTTAGTAGCAATCTTTCTGTTTCAATTTCTACTAACAAGATGTAATCTTGTAAATAGCTAGGCTGCTTAGTTTCTCTTTTTGACCTTCTTAATGTTGGTTTTGCTGATTCTTGAACTATGTCAGACTCAGTTTCGAGTACATTCTCTGAGTTTTCTTCACCAGACTCTCCATCATTGTTCTGGTTTTCATTTTCCTCTGTTTCCTCTGTATTATTTTCATTATCTCTGATGCCTTTATTTCCAAATTCTCCCGAAGTGAGAGTAAAGGTTCCTGAATCTTCATCATTTTCACCAAGATTATTCCATTTCCATCCTTTAGACTCATCAAAGTCAACATCTCTACTAACTACTATTTTCCGTTTTGTTGGATCAAGTAGCCTATAGGCTTTAGAACCCGGTTCTGTTCCTAAGTGTACCAATGCTCTAGACCTATCATCGAGTATCTTTAGGTGTGGAGACTCTACTCTTGCATAAGCAGTACATCCAAATACTCTTAGATGTTGAATATTAGGCTTCTTTCCCTTATATGCCTCATATGGAGTCTTATCAGTCAAAGTTCTTGTTGCCACTCTATTAATCAAATATGTAGCATGTCTTACTGCTTCTCCCCACATGTAGTTAGGTATGTTCATATGTTTCAAGATACTTCTTGTCATTTCCATGAGTTTTCTGTTTCTTCTCTCTACCACTCCGTTTTGTTGAGGAGAGTAAGGAGTTGTCAACTGTCTTTTGATACCAGACCTTTCGCAGAAAGTCTGAAATTCTTGAGACATGAACTCACCTCCTCTGTCCGTTCTTAGTGTTTTAATGTGTAGCCCTGTTTCTTCCTCAACAATAGCCTTGAAACTCTTGAATTTGTTGAAACTCTCGCTTTTCTCCTTTAGTAAGAAGGACCACATATATCTTGAGTGATCATCGATTAAAACGAAAACATACCTGTTGTGTGCAGCTGTAGGTGGTGCTATTGGTCCACATAAGTCCCCATGAACAAGCTCTAATACATTAGTGGCACGGTATGTTGTTGCCTGTGGAAATGTCTTCCTAGTTTGTTTTCCAAGATAACAAGAAGCACACATTTCTTTTTCAATCTGCATATTAGGCATACCAAGCACTAGCTCTTTCTTTATCATATTCTTCATGTTTTCAAAGTTAACATGACCTAATCTTGCATGCCATGTAGTAGAATCTCCAGTTTTCATAATTTGTAGACATTTTTGGGTCTCTGCTTCCATTATTACTTTGTAGAGGCGATTCTTTGCTCTGATTGCTTTTACTAGAAGCTGACCATCTTTATCATATAACATCAGATAGTTTTCTTTTATCCTAACATCACATCCTGATTCGGTTGCTTGGCCAAGACTGATGATGTTGCTTTTTAGATCCGGAATAGAGTAAACATCAGCTAGTACTTTACGTTCCCCATTCTTAGTTACAAATAATATTGAGCCTTTGCCTTTAATGTCAATCTTAGAGTCATCTCCAAACCTGAATTTTCCAGTAATAGTCTCATCAAGTTTTGCAAAATAACTTCTATTCCCTGTCATGTGATTACTTGCACCATTGTCTAGGTACCAAATCTTATCATCTTCTGCAGTTTTCTTGAAATCACTTGGTTTAAAATTCTTCTCATTGAGATATACAACTTCATGCATCATTAGTTCAGCAACTTGAGTTTCTTCTTCCTTATTTTCTTGTGTTTCCTGCAGTTTTAGTAATCTTTCTCGACAATTGGAAGCAAAGTGAACATTCTTGTCTCTGTATCCTGCTTGATTTTGATTACCAGATTGTCCTCTTCCTCTTCCTCTATTAGTAAACCTTCCACCTTGTCTTCTGCCTCTATTTGCATAAAATCCTTCTTGGTATGATTGTGAATCATTATTGGCGTACATAAGTTTGCTTTGATCATCATTCTTTTCTTCTTCATCACAGATTCTTTCTTCATAAGTCTTTACCTTCCTACAATCTTCAAAAGGTGTTGTATTTAGATCAAGTACTTGTTCTAAGGCAGCTATGATGTGTATATATCTTTTCCTAGGTACGCTATTTAAGAATTTCTTCACAAGTTTCTTCTCTTCAATATTATTTCCTAGGGCTGCGGACTTTGTGGATAGTTCTGATAGTCTTCCTGCGAAATCATCAATTGTTTCGCTTTCTTTCATTTTCATTCTTTCAAACTCTGCCATAAGAGTTTGTAGTCTAGCCTCTTTTACCCTATCAGCTCCAACATGTCTTGTTTTTATAGCATCCCAGACCTTCTTGGCTGTGTCAAGTTTTCCAACTTGTAGGGTGAGACTTTCTGATATCGATTGGAACAGGAGGCCTCGCGCCATGATGTTCTTGTCTTCATCATAGGATCCAGGCTCGATAGTATCCCAGACCTTATGTACACTAAGGACTATTTGCATCCTAATAGACCAAACCGTATAGTTTGTTGTTGTGAGCATCGGGCATTTAATGGTTGAGGAACCACTTTCCTTAGGGTTTACGGCAACGATCTCAGCCATGTTTGCAGTTGCAAACAGAACGCTTTCTTCGATATGTGTTTAGGGTTTCTTATTTCAATAAAAGCTCTAATACCAATTATTGAATTATAAGATCCTAGAGTATACACCTTTGATCAAGAACTTGTGATTATAAGAACACCTTTTCTTATTACTTTTGAAACTGACTCAAAACAAAAGTACACAAATCTCTCAATCTCTTAACTCTCATAAACTTCTCATATGGTTTACCACAACTAGGTAACTCATATTTATACACAAAACAAACGAAGACCTAATCCTAACTTGATTAGGAATTTCAAATATATTTTCCCTAAATTTTAGATAACTCCTAAAACTTTATCTTTATCCACAAGTTAACTCATACCTCAAGTTAACTTTAACCAAAGACCAAAAGCTTAACTCAAGCTTCACTCAACATTTATGAAATGTGAAATCAAGCAGCTCGATGTTACACCTGTATTTTTTACATTGAGATTTAGTTTACACTGTTTACATCGTACAACCTCTTGAATTTATATCTTCAGTATGTATGTCGTATGACAAGCGTATTCAAGTACCAAATCTTTTTCTACAAAATTCATAAATTATAAATCCCCCAGATTCACTTTTTTTTTTTTTTGAATTAAATGTTAAATTAAATTCAAAAGAAAAATGTTAAATTAAATTCAAAAGAAAAATGTATTTTTTACAATAAGTGCAACTTTAGCTTAGAACATGAGCTGAAAAGAGAATTGAGATTGAAGACTATGAGCCTAACTTCTTGCTTGAAACCAGATTTGGAGACTTGTATCGTATCGTCTATCTCCCATTTTTCGAATCGAGGAGAGTTTGTTCCTCACTTGCCTATCGATCCATTTGATTAGGAGATGAGCTGGGTTTGGTTTATCACCATGCTTTCGTTCATTTCTTTCCCGCCAGATGATGTAGAGGGTGGCGTGTAGTACATACCGAGCTACAAAGCTCTATGTTCTGTCATTCCATCCCGCAGAGATTGTGTTGAGGAGAGAGTACCATTTAGATGAGTATCGGGTTTTGTAGAGGTTTTTTGCTAGAGCTTCCCAGATTTGAGATATGTAGCCGTAGGCAAAAAACAAATGATCTCGGGATTCTGTTGCGTTGTTACAAAAACAGCAGGTCACCGAAGCTCCCATGTTCCATTGAATCATTCTATCTCCGGTTGACAGTCGATTTCGAGCTGTGAGCCAAACACAGAAAGATAACTTTGGTGTTCCATGTTTGATCCAAACTCCTTTGTGCCAACTGACCGTGGTACCCTCAGTGCGAGTGAGATTCCATGTGTATTTTGTGGAGAAGCTTGGTTTGTATACATTGTTCCTTCCTCGCCACAACACTATATCCTCTGTTTCGTTTCTGCTCTGTTTTTTGGTTGCTAACTCTTCCTCCATTTGATTTAACAGACCTGATCGGTGCCAGCAGCGACGACGACTCTCCCAAGCTTCAGCCACCGTCTGGTGCCTACTTATACCCATATCAATCATGCCTCTTTCCCCAACCTCCCCCAGCAGCCGGCCTAGACTTGACCAGTCGTCATACCAGAATGATGTGCGTGATCCATTATTCACTTCCACCTTGCAAAAGGTTTCTGCCACATCTCTGAATTTTAATAGTTTCTTCCACATCCAAGATCCTATTGTTGTGTTCTTCTTGACAGACCAGTAGGTATCCTTTTTCAGCAGAAACTACTCTATCCACTTAACCCATAGTGAGTTTCCATTGTAGATAATTTTCCATATAAGCTTCAGGCAGCATACATCATTCGCTTCTTTTAAAGATCGTAGACCGAGACCACCTTCTGACTTGGGTTTGCATATATCGTCCCAAGCTACCTTCGCTTTTCGTGAGTTCAACTCTGGCCCAGACCAGAGAAAAGATGAGCAGATTTTATCGATTTCTCTTATGCATTCTCTAGGTAGACGAAATGTGGATAACCAGAAATTGCAAAGGCTCTAAATAACCGAGCTTATCAAGTTGAGTCGGCCCGCAAATGATAGGTACCTTGCTGTCCAAGAACTGATCTTTCTCTTAATTTGTTCGATGAGCGGACTGTAATCTGTGGCAGTGAGTCGCTTTGTGAGTAAGGGAAGGCCTAGGTATCTTACCGGAAGACTACCAACCTCAAAATGAAACTGATCCTGAATTTCTTGGTGAGTTGTGTTCAAATGACCGGCCATGTATATGGTTGACTTCTCCATGCTTATTCTCAAACCAGATTTTTTAGCAAACTCATCAAAAACCGTCACTATTCCTTCTATGGATCTAACTTTCCCATCAGAGAGTACCATGATGTCGTCCGCAAAACTAAGATGTGTTAGACCAAGTTTCTTGCATTTTGGAAATCTGGTATCCCCCAGATTCACATATATACTGTTTTCACTTTTCACATAATTTTTTGAGCAATTTAAGTTGGCAACTTCATGAAGTTCTTAAACCTAAAGATACCATTTTATACACTCAAGACTTTCCTGAATATGGTAGATTTTAAATGACAAAATCTTATAAACTGATAGAAATCTACAACAACAAAAGGGCGCGGTCCAAGTTTCATGTACCAAAGCTATTGACCTTTGCAAGTTCTAATCATAAATCCTACAAAAGACAAAATATGAAAATATTTATATTGATATTTGATTTACACATAAAACTTTAAACCTTTACGGGGTATCGGAACTCTTTTTATAATATTGGAAATTAAAATGAAGAAATAGAAAGTCACAATCTCTAAATTATTCGTTTTGTCATACAAAAGAGATTAATGTGACTTTGTAGAGAACATATATACGTATATATAAGCCTAAGCATGAACATTTATACTTTATACGTATAGCTTCATTAACGTTTCAAGGCTTTGCACCTTTCCTCCCACCATTGCTACCATCTTCACTCACCTTCGCATTAATGACAAATCTCGTTTCAAACTGTTTAGTAGTATAAAGAACTTCGCTTTTTACGGTAGTACCGACTCCCATAACGGAAACACTAGGAGTTCCAGTGTTGTTAGTGGCAAGATTTGCTCCGCCTTCACGTAGAGGAACTGCTCTTAAAACGCCACCAGTAAGAGGAGCTTTGGTGCCAATAGTGGCTCCACTTTCTGGGATGGGAGAAACTCCTACAATGACACCAATAAGAGGAGTTTTGGTGCCATTAGTGGCTCCGCCTTTTGTTACAGGAGACGGAGAAACTCCTCCGATGCCACCACTAAGAGGAGCTTTGGTGCCATTAGTGGTGATAGGAAATGGAGCAACTTCTACAACGCCGCCACTAAGAGTGATGCGGTCATCACACCAGAAACTGAACCAAAGCTCATTCAAATAGGATGCACTATGCGAATCAGACCCGAGAAGGACATACGTTCATTGTGTGAATCATATCAGCCCAACCAGGAGGAGTTAGTCTACAAATCAACTTATTCAAGAAACTTAACTCATCAAGGAATCACGGAGAGGTGGAATTGGTTCAAAATCTTTCCACATGAGGGAGATATTCAAGTTAAAAGTCAGCAGACTTCCAATGAACCTGATGGAGACCAGCAGCTACGTATTGGAGGATTCCGACCAGAGAAGAAGGATTTAAGCTACGAAGTGAATTTTCCTACATTCTTGACTCATCAGAGGAGCTCGTCGAATTGGAATCAAGTCAAAAACAATTTTGGTTTAGAAGATATTAATTTTCTAAACCAGATGATTCTCAGCTTGCCTTATTTGGAAGCTGACCGGTTTTGCAAACCAGACTTTGGCGTCCAGGAGAGTCTCTAATGCTACAAGAGTATCTTAAGAACATCTCAAGCTTCATTTCCAGCCATTGGATCAGGTTGATTCAATCTTTCCTAATCATACACCAAGAGTTACCATATATGGACCCGAGAACATTCAAAGCCCAACCCCAACGTCTATCTTCTGATTTGGTGCGACTTAAGGGAGTTATTAGAAGATTAATAAGCCATGGAATCATCCAGAAGCTGTCAAGATACAAGAGCCCACGAATTACTCCTTTTGGCCTAAGCATTCAAAGCCTAACGGCTATATTCTTTCAAGGCACAACTCCACTTGATTTCTTTGATTTATTTCGTGTATTGCTTTCCTATTTTGAGTCATTAGACTGTTATACCAATCCTAGAGTCGAGCCTATATAAGCTCAAGTCATTTCTTTGTAAAAACGACCCTTAATCGAGATTTTAAAGTTCATAAGAAACATTGTTTTCTTTTCTTCCACAAAGTTGCAAATTCTTTGTGTTTCCTTTCATTAGTTCTTATTTGAGTGAGTCAATTAAGTTCTTTTGAGTCTGCAAATCAAGTTGTTTGAGTGATTCAAACTTTTGGTTTGTTCATTGATTGAGTGAGTCAATCGCATCTATCCATTGTTCCATCCCTTGATTCACGAGAGAGTGCGTTATAGCCAGCTCGTGGATTCCACCTTCCGCAAGTTAAGCTTGGAATCTCTTGATCATTGAGTGATCATAAGTTGGATTGGTTCCAATCTTATATCATTTGGTATCAGAGCTTCAAAAGCTCATATCCATTAGGTTGTATTCATCCAACCTTTATCTCTTTTAATTTTCTGTTTTGTTATTTCATTTTCATAAAATTTTAAAACCCTTAATCATCTATTTTAATAAACGTTAAGTTTTCTTTCAAAGACAAGTTCTTTGTGTTCCTTTTCATTTTGAGTTTAGTGTGAGATACACTCTTCTCTTGTGAAGCTGCGGATCAGTTTGTTGTGTGATTCAACATTCTTATTCGTTCATTGATTGAGTGAGTCAATCGCATCTATCCATCGTCCCATCCCTTGATTCACGAGAGAGTGCGTTATAGCCAGCTCGTGAATTCCACCTTCCGCAAGTTAAGCTTGGAATCTCTTGATCATTGAGTGATCATAAGCTCGTACAAAGGACTCATAATTAAGACACCGAAAAAACCGGGTTGGGGCGAGTTAGGGTATTAGGAAATTACTTCATTGGGTAGAGTTTTGGTCTATCCGTGGGTATCGGTTCGGGTCGGGGAATATTCGTTACCCATTTAGGGTACCCATAAACCCGAAACTTTTAGACATGTGTTTATATATGTATATAGATATATAGTTATATAGTCATATAGCCTTAGCTTTTGAGTTTTAACGATTGAGTTTCCTAATTTCCTTCTAGAATCCCTATTCCCTCGATAATCTTTGCTTAAAATCCCCTTCTGAGTCTCATTATCGAAACTGGAAACCCTCGTCGCGACAGTCTTGGCGACTTTACCGTCACCGAACATTCCGATGTCATGTGATTTTGGTTTGGATTTACTCTTAACACTTAAGACTTAAGTAGTCACCTTTGTGATTTTGGATTGGATTTAGTCTTTAGATGTCATGTTTGATGTTCTGTTCTCTTTATTTGATCATTTGAGCATGTACAATGATTTAAAACTTCGGGTATTGGAGTCATATTTCGGGTTTATGGGTAATTTTATCCATTTAGACCCGAACCCAATGGGAACCCAAATATTTCGGATTTTTTTCGGTTCTCATACTTATTACCCCAACCGACCCGAACCCGACGATACCCAAACCGGACAGGAACCGAATCTTTAGAAATACCCGAATGGACCATAAATTCATTACCTATTCAACCCGAACCCGAACGGGTTACCCATATGCCCAGGCCTAAGAGTTTTCATACGTTTTTTTTTTTTAACGTCTGGATTTGTTATTTATTGCAAATTATGAGAACTGTTACATAGAAGATTTTACAACGGACAATTTTTTCCGACCCTTCTTAGATCCACGATAGATTACACTTCCTTTTTCATGCTCTTGATGAATACCTTCAATGATCCACAACCTGACGACACTTCCCTCCCTACGTAGAATCCTAGCAAACAGCTATAATTGTACATCGTTAAAAATTTCTTGCACACTTGTTTCCAGAATCTGCAAATTTATTAATAAATCGCAGTATCTAAGACTCGAACCCCATATCTCTTAGTGTAAAAGCATTAATTAACCATTAGTCAACCAATGGGGTAAGAGGACTTCCACTTCATAACTTTTATTAATCATTAATTATCTTATAGTGACAAATGAAAATGGTAGTATATATTTCGTCGTATACAGAAATAAAATAAATGTGAAGAGAGTTTTCATACGTTTTATTAATCATTAATTATCTTATAGTGACAAATGACAATGGACTCATCAGTCATTATATATATTATATATCGAATTCATCAGTCAGTCAAACTAAGGCATTAAGCAGATAATATGGAAATATTAAGTGAAGAAAAAACTGTTCATCCCAAGTTTTGGCTAAGTATTTACAACTTTTATTTTTCCCTTGAAAATTGCATCTCACTCCATTGAAATTTCACAGATGCAATTGCAATGTCCATAATGGTCATGCACATTTGAGCCGTTTAATGTGTGTTGATTCTGATGGATTATGCCAAAGTATAGCTAAAATACAAAATCACCTAACAGTCAAATTTAAACTAATTTGTTAGTGTTTTTTTAATACACGTTTTCATAATTTTCCAACATAAATGTTTCGTATCGTGTAAAGTATAACTTTCTTTTTAAACAATGACAGGAATTGCATTAACTCGTGTCATGAATATATACGGCTTGATTCACTCCTCTCCGTCTGAAAATGAAAGCCACATAATCAAAATATTGCTTAATCTCTTCACGATCTTGGATATAGCTGTGGACGCTAGGCCATTTGAGAAGATACCTAATTGCTTTAATCAAATTCAATGAGTCCTTCAAACACCACTTGTTTTAACCCCAAGTTTGCATCACATGAAACGGCCCAAACAAGGGCAGTGGCTTATGTTGCTAGGATGGTCATGGTGTTGACATCATGTCATATGTTAGTTTAATTATATGTGAGCATGTGATACATTTAATTAATTATTGTAGTTTATTATACATTTTCAAATTTGGGATGTGTGGTCATGTCTTGTACTATATACGTCGTATATATACATGACAATCTTTATGACAAACATTGAATCTACTAGTAGCCATGATTTGGTAGGACGTAATGCCACGGCTACCAGAGTATATATCAAGAAAACTGTGTAGCTACTTGCTTATGGTGACTACATCATTTTCATTTCCACAGATTGACCTTTACGATTTTCGTGGTTAGGTTGCAACTGATGGATGTGGTATATAATTTTGTGACAATTAATTATATAGATTTTTTACGACTTTAACCACTAGATATTCGTGAAAAAATATATAACGTTGTAATTAATCACGAACTATCGTAGTTATCATCATCAATGGGTCACATATCACTTTAACATGAAAAAATTTCTCTTAGTCTTTTTTTTGTCTTCTAAATTTTTTCATTGATTAAACATGGAAAAACACAAAATCCATCAAGGATTATTGAAATCCTTCTATAGACAAAGCCAATGAATTCTGAAAACTCGTAGAGACAACATCCCCATACCGGAGAAACACATGGATTACAAACCGAAAGCTAACAAAATATCACAATTTCTTCAACCCTCAATCCACTCACACGTCTTTGAGATCAGAAGGACCGAAAAAAACACCCAACAATGCCTAACTGGATCTTCAAATCTATTTGTTCTCTCTTGGAATAAGTAATCTTGGGAAGTTGAATGCTTGTGCTTGCTAAACTTAGCCGGATAAGAACTCAAATGAGGCATATTGGACCCAATTACCAAGAGTGGATTGACAGAATTCTTGTTATGGATTATGCTTTCATATTTTTATTTTTTTTGCCATGAGACCATTTATGTAAGTTTATAATCATCGATTGTAAATCTAACACGTTTTTATTTTTATAAAATATTTACATTCTTAACAAAAAAAATGAATGGAGTGGGCTTCTACAAAGCCGTTTTACCGAAATAGCAACACTCGAAAGTGGTTCCAGTTTTCTTATGATAAATCAAAATGCTCTATAGTTTAAAAAGTTATTAAATAATTTATATGTTATTATGATTTATTTTTGTTTTTTCTCATCATAAAATAAAAAAAATTCTATCTTACAAGTTCCATTATACATGAGCTTAAATTATACTCCTTCCGTTTCAAAATATAAGATGTTTTGAGGTATTATTTTTGTTTCAAAATGTAAGACGTTTTCAAGTTTCTATGCAAATTATATTAAATTTAATATTTTTTAATTATTTATATTATGCAGTCTCATTCATGATTGGTTGAACTTTCTAAAAGTTGATATTTCTTAATCTGCGTGTTTTTAACTAAAACGTTTTATATTTTGAAACGGAGAGAGTATATTTTAAAATTACAATAATAGTAAATTGGTATTATTTTACTTAATAAACTAATTTGAAATTGATCACGTAAAAAATATGAAATTTGAAATTTTTTAATATATATATATATATATATATATATTGATCTATTAAAATCATATATTATATAAACAAATAGAACTAATTAATAAAAATGAATATATTTAAAATATAATTTGATATGGTCTAAAAGATATTAATAAGAAATATTCTAATTTAAAATAAATATTCAAACTAAATTATATTATAAATAATTAAACTATATTAAAATTATTATATTAGTGAAAAACTTAGCGATTCTATCATAAATAAATTCCAAAAAAAAATCTAACACTAAACTATGCTACAAATAATGATTTCTATTAATAAAAAAAAAACTCAATATCTATCACGTTCTTACAGATTTGTTTTAAGAGTCCTTCCAAAAGTTCACGAATCTTTGGTCTCCTAAAGATTAATCTTTAGTCTAAGTTAATGATTAGACTATTTTTATTCTTCTTATTGGCTGGTGTGTTAATCCCCTTGTTTGAAGACTCGCTAGGCGCTAGTCGGACGTTCGGTATGGGTCTAGCGATTAATCGGAAAATCGGATTGAAATCGGGGATTAATCAGGGATTAGTTTTAGGGTTATTTTAATATTTTAAAAATATATTAATCTAATATAGTTTTCAAAATTGTAGGAAACACATAAAAATATATTTTAAGGCAAATTTTTATGATTTTTTATTAAAAATTATGACTTTTATTAAAAATTTGAACATAAATTATTGTAAAATATCACAAACTTCGAATCAAATGTTTAAATAACAAAAAAAAAAAGAGTTGTTTTATACTTGGAATAAAAAAATAATTTGGATATGTAAGAATATACGGAAAATAATCGGATTAGACGGAGAGTAATCGGATGACTTATGTTTTTTAAGGGATTAATCATTAATCGAGGCGGAAAAGGTGAGCCTAGTCTGGGCCGGCCCTGAGGGCAGCCAAATGAAGCAATGGTTTGGGGCCCCATTTTTGTGGAGCCCCCATTTTGATTTTTTTTTTTTTTTTTGAAAATATGTAAATACATATGCTATATTTTATAGATATGATTAGAAAAAAAATAACAATTAATCTTTTAATGTGTACTCTATATAATATGAAATAAAAATTCAGTTTTTAACACATTTTATTACCTAAAATAATTTAAATTAATATAAAAATGATATAATAATAGAAAATATTAAATATATAATTATATTAAAGGGCTCCTATTTTTGTTTTGTATTTGGTTCATATTTTCTCAGGACCGGCCCTGGACCTAGCGATTAAGCGGGGAGTAAACGGATTAGACGGAGATTTTTTGAACGGGGGTAATCCTAACGAAAATGCAACAAGTCAATTTTGATCATTTAAAAAAAAAAAAAAAAAACTATGCTCTAAATCTATTGCGTCCACGCAATCTGATTATATAGCTTGATGAGTTCCAGAAATCTAATTGCTCCTCTCAATAGCTTTAATCAGTTTCAAAAGATGAATTCCAATGAAGACGAAAGGATAATAATCCTTGACGTTGAAGAATCTCTTCTTATACAGGTTTTTTTTACTTAATTTATTAATTTGCGTTTTGTGAATTTCTCTGAATTAGCTATATTTTCTTCAGTTTCAATGTTTAAAATCAGTTCAAGATTGTTTGTTATATGTGGGTCAGTTTTTTTTCTGCTGAATAAATGTTTGATTTTCAGCCACAACACAACTTCTGATCCAATCATTTTTTTGTTGTTGTCTGAATATCTCAGGAGGAAGTGAAAAATGTCTTGACCGGATTGTCTTCTTCAGCTGAAGATGGTTCTGTTGACATTTATGGAAACCCACCATCGAAGAAGAAAACAGGAAACTGGAAAGCTTGTCCTTTTATTCTTGGTAAACAAAAAAAGATCACTTTTTTTTTTGTTCTCTTGTGTTTGTGAATAGTTAATCCTCCAAGTTTGGTGTCTCAATGCAGGAAACGAATGTTGTGAGAGATTAGCTTACTATGGAATTGCCAAGAATCTAATCACTTATTACACAAGTGAATTACACGAGTCCAATGTTTCTGCAGCTAGCGACGTCATGATTTGGCAAGGAACTTGCTATATCACACCTCTCATTGGAGCTGTTATAGCTGATTCTTACTGGGGAAGATACTGGACTATTGCTTCTTTCTCTGCTATTTATTTCTTTGTAAGACTAATCAAATCACTTTGAATAGTTGCATTTGTTGTTTAAGTTATTTGTATAGTTAGTTAATCTGGTTTTTGAATTAGGGAATGGCTTTGTTGACACTCTCGGCTTCAGTTCCCGGTTTAAAGCCAGCGGAATGTGTTGGCTTTGTTGCGGTTCTATGCCCACCAGCAACAACGGTTCAGTATGCGGTTTTCTTTTCAGGACTTTACCTTATTGCACTTGGTACTGGAGGTATCAAACCATGTGTCTCATCTTTTGGTGCTGATCAGTTTGATGATACTGACCCGAGGGAACGAGTTAGAAAAGCTTCTTTCTTTAACTGGTTTTACTTCTCTATCAACATTGGTTCATTTATCTCGTCGACTTTGCTAGTTTGGGTTCAAGAGAATGGCGGGTGGGGACTCGGTTTCTTGATCCCCACCGTGTTTATGGGAGCCTCTATCGCGAGTTTCTTCATTGGAACTCCGCTTTATAGGTTTCAGAAACCGGGTGGTAGCCCGATTACTAGAGTTTGCCAAGTTCTTGTAGCTGCATACCGTAAATGGTATCTCAATCTCCCTGAAGATATCTCATTTCTGTATGAAACACGAGAGAAAAACTCCATAATTGCTGGAAGCAGGAAGATTCAGCACACTGACGGTTACAAGAAAATATCTGTCCCCTTTCAGTTTCTCATTTTGACATGAGCTTTTGGAAATGTTCACTGGAACATAACCTTCGTTTTCTTATCTGTGCAGGTGTCTTGACAAAGCTGCCATTGTCTCAGAAGATGAATCGAAATCCGGTGCTTTTTCCAACCCATGGAAGCTATGTACTGTAACTCAAGTCGAAGAAGTTAAGATTCTGATCCGTATGTTTCCTATCTGGGCCTCGGGGATCATCTACTCGGTCTTATATTCACAGATTTCCACTCTATTTGTGCAACAAGGACGGGCCATGAACCGGGTAGTCCTCTCTTTTGAGATCCCTCCCGCTTCATTCGGGGTTTTCGACACACTTATCGTGCTCATAGCCATCCCAATCTATGACCGTTTCATCGTACCCTTTGTGAGACGGTTCACAGGTATACCAAAAGGGTTAACGGATCTGCAGCGAATGGGCATTGGTCTTTTTATCTGTGTCCTAAGCATTGCAGCTGCAGCTATTGTTGAGACAGTGCGGTTGCAGCTCATTCAAGACACTGTTTCAATGAGCATATTTTGGCAAGTCCCTCAGTACATACTAATGGGAATTGCAGAGGTCTTCTTCTTCATTGGTCGAGTCGAGTTTTTCTATGATCAATCTCCTGATGCAATGAGAAGTGTATGCAGCGCTTTGGCATTACTCAATACCGCAGTCGGAAGCTACCTGAGCTCGTTGATCCTCACTCTTGTGGCGTATTTGACGACAATTGGAGGTAAAGATGGTTGGATTCCAGACGACCTTAATAAAGGACATCTTGACTACTTCTTTTGGCTTTTGGTCTCTCTTGGACTTATCAACATTCCTGTTTATGCCTTCTTCTCTGTTAAGCACACGAAGAAGAAGGCTTTATAAGCTACTTTTGTAACAAGCTATGCTGTTTTGGTTCATCATGTTCAGGGTGATACTCTGTGTTTTATAGTCTGTACAGTTCTGAATGCAGGATACTTGTACAATGAACGATTATTGAAACAAAATGTAGTTCTTTATAATATAGATTCCAAGTAATAGTTGATATGGTTCTTTATTCGATATACTCAAACTTCATTACATATAACTTACTAGACAAACATTTTCAGCATATTCTTTAAATCTTTGTAATAGATTAAGTACTATGCTTGGTTGTTGGAGATCTCGGTTTCTTCTGCCCAGTCAGAGTTTGGCTCGTTCCATGACCTTGGTCTCACACCAAACTGGAAATACAACGCCATCTCCAATGCTTCAAAGAACTTACTTTCATCCAAAACCTTGTTCCATGCCCCACTCACTACACAGTAGTTGCTGTTATATGGTGCTTGGTGATGTCCCAAGTGATGTTTCCGTGAAACGAGTAGTCCCATATCCTGTAACGCCACCACGAGAGGCGGAAGCTTGCTCGTGGTTCCATGAGCCCAAGCATGGAATTGTTGGCTTAACAATATGCAAAATGCAAATATACTCACAAAGCTATGAAACAGAGGATTGTTAATTACAAGGTTTAGTGGTAGAACTGTAAAAGTTATGGCTCGAGCTATAGTGTGTGAGTTGTTGGCGAATTGACGCTTGGTGATTGTCCAAGGCCACTTGTGATGACCCTGAGACGCTTCGAGTTGTGCTCCTACTAAAGGTGTTGATTTATCACCGTAGTTGTCAATGGCCCAGTGGTACACACCTGAGCCTAGATCAGCTAAGACGTACCCTGCATAACTGGCTAAAGCTGGTTCGAGCCAGAGATGGGAACCAAACCCTCCAATGAAAGATTTAGCGAAAGAGGCAAAGACAGTTGTGCTTCCCGCTGCAACCCATAACCGATGAGTCCATGTCGATTGCAGAGTTGGGTCGTTGTCCTTGGACAAAGGATGATTCACAAGGCGTTGCTCAAGGACAAGCGCCTTCTCATGATTAGGATGAGGATTGGTGGTAGTAACAGAGCATGTGATACGTACACTTGACGGACCGTAGCTTCTTGGGATGTTGGTGATGGGTCTTAGAGGGTACTTGGTTTGAAATTATATAGCCATTGAGAGAGATTACAGGTGAAAGATGTCAAGTTTTGGCAAAGATATATATAGAGGAAGAGATAACGATAGAGTACGAACTAACTATATTTATGCGTGGGGGCAATTGAGAGATGCATGTGGACACGTTAGAGATGCGTTGGGGGCTTGGGGCTATCGTGATCTGGAGATATCAAATGGCAATCAATAATTGCTGTACACGCGGCGGACCATAGCTTCTTGGGATATTGGTGATAGGTCTTAGTGGGTACTTGGTTTGAAATGAGACAGCCGTTGAGAGAGATTACAGGTGAAAGATGTCAAGTTTTGGCAAAGATATACTCTCTCCGTTTCAAAATATAAGGCGTTTTAACTAAAAACACGTCTATTAAGAAGATTTACTTTTTAAAAGTTCAATTAAAGTAATACAGTATATAATTTGCATAGAAACCTGAAAATGACTTATATTTTGAAACAGAAAAGTTTCTCCAAAACGCCTTATATTTGAAACGGAGAGAATATATCTTTGGGCATGTGGGTACGTCAGAGGTGTGGGGATAGTGTGATCAAGTACATCGAATGGCAATAATTGATGTTTGTTTTTAAACTACCATAAGGAAATTAGGTATACTGAAAACATTATAACAAAGTAACAAAAAAATATTGAGGAATTTATCAAAAAAAGGTATAAAAAAAAAAATCCAAGCAAATTGGAAAACAAACACTAGATATGGTGAAGGAGACGACGTATACCGTGATTTAGTAATTGATGAGCCGAATCTCAGTAATTGATGTTTTGAGCTACATCAGATTATTCCTACTACAAAGTATGAATATTAGTTTCCGAGTGTGTTAGTCAGTCATCGATCAACACGAAGAATCCAGCAACACACTATATACGTGTTTGGTCCCTACAAATAATTACCTTAGTCTATGTCATCAAAACTAGAAAATAAAATAAAAGAGAAGCTGCAACACAGTTTTGAAAATAAAAAGAAAGGATGTGGTAAACTAAGACTTTGAATGGTTAGTCCACATGATGCAGATTGGACACTGCATACCAATATTTTAGTATGCAAAATAGCGGACTGTAGTATGGAGCAGACAATTGTATGTTGGTATGGAGCTTATGATGGTATGGAGTTTTTGGGAAGTGGAATGAAAAAATGCAGACTAACAATGAGTTTATGATGGTATGGAGTTGTATGCTCAAGTGCATACTAGTATGAAGATGTTTAGTCCGCAATAGTGCATACTAATCCGCAATAGTGAATGGTGAATTAAATGCAGACTGATCCGAATTTAGTCCGGTCTGCAGCATACTAGACAACCATTCAAAGCCTAAGTTTTTGTATGAAATCATCTATCATTCTTTGTTCGGAGGTAAACAAGTTAAAGAAAAAATGAAGTAGACTTACGATTAATGAGAATTGGTGGCTTTCTTTTTTCTGTCTTAGTTACGCAAATTTTTACGACTAACTAAAACTAAGTCCCTACAAATTCCAATTCACAAACAAACACATATACACAGTCACGAATCAGAGAGCTTAAGATTGGAATCAAAAAAAGCAAGGAAGTTTCAAATGTCTAAAAACACCATTAAAATCATACTCTGAATCAATTAACAGTAGCAAACAATAAAACAACACCATTTCAATAAACAAGATACAGAAACAAGAACAAAAATGCGGTTGTCGATAAGCTAAGGAACCAACTCCGAACTAACCTCAAAGCTGTAAAGGAAGAAGCTGGAGATTCTCGATGCGTGATGGAGTGTTTTTCCAGCAATTGATCAAGTCCCCTCTGTTCTCACAACATCATATATCTTTGTATAAATACAAAGTGGAACACAAGTTTAACATCAATAAGAAAGTGCATTCTCTAAAATTTACAAACTACCAATCGGTAGTGAAATAGACAACAAGCTCAAATGAAATAGAACACTTACTAAACAAAGTAGAAACATAGAACATAGTGAAGGGAAAACGAAACTTTTAGGTACCTGTTTTAACCGACAATCAATAAGGACGAGGAGAAGAAGAGTTAACCCTAGTTACATAGATACCATGATCTCAAACCAATAGATGCTACATATGGGGGAAGACTCTCTTTGGATAAGGAAGGATCCTTCTATAGGAAGTGGCTGGAGATCATAAGTAGTCATGATCACACCGTAGAGGTTTGGAGAATCGGTGGAGATAGAAAAATGGCTACGTAAAAGTGTAAGGGGGTTTCGAAGAAGGGTGGTCTTCTGACAAAGCTTTTAGAAATCTTGTTATGCTTTTTTTTAATGAAATTCTTGTTTTTGATCAAGTGCCCGGTAACAAAGCTTTATACTCAAGTAAGACTATTTTCTAGTGGGAGGTTGGGGGTCGAATGTTGGGCCATAGCCCATAGTGTAGAGCAACGAAAGTTAAAGGGAGATTGTTAGTTCATGATCCAGACTATTTTATGGGGCCATTTGAAAAATGTATGGATCTTGTTTAATGAACGAAAGCTATGGGCCATAAATTTGAAGGCCATAAAATGTATGGACCTTGTTTTATTCACACGTGATTTATGTTTATTCAAGTTTTATTGCCCTAGAAATTTACTAAGGTTTTTAAACGGTGTCAGGCAAGAGTACATATATGGGCCCTGTTCGTTTAAGTGTCGTGCGACACAAACCAGCGACTGCTATTTTTTTTTTTTTTTTTTTTTGTTTCGGTAAGTTTTGTAATTATGAATATCTAAAGGGTATAACTATAAATTTGGCAAAATTATCCATTAAAGGCTGGATTTTTAAGTTGGAGAAGAAGAAGGAATCGTAACAGATCTGTGAAATTCTGATAACTTATGATTTGATTTTCAAACTCCAGCGACTATCGCTACTTCAAACTAAAGCTTAGAATTGTGTCGCTGATTATTCCGGCGACTCCGAAATTTTGAGATTGGAGTCGCTGCGACAGAAATTAAAGAGAAATGAATGAAAAGTAAGGCAAATTTCTGATCGCCCATGGGTGTCGCTGCGATTCATTGCCGAACGATATATGCACTAGATAGTCAAATTCTGAGATCGACATAAACTGGTTCATATATTGTGTGTGTTTACAAATATCATATTTTAAACCCAATAATATGTTATTTTACATAATATTATTGAAATCACTTTTTATATTATTAAATGATGCGATGCTGTGGAAGTCCTCTTGGCCCATTGGTTGAACAAGGGTTAATTAATGCTTCTACACCCAGAGGTTTGAGGTTCGAATCCTAGATACTGCGATTTATTAATGTATGAAGAAGAAGGTGAAGAAGGTGTCGTCTGTCGTGGATCTAATATGGATCGGAAGGAATTGTCCGTTGTAGAATCGTCTATGTAACAGTTCTCATAATTTGCAATAAATAATAAATCCAGACGTTAAAAAAAAAAAAATGATGCGATGTTCCTAAATTTGCAACTTGGGAATATCTCTATACTATTAAAAGAGAAGTACAAATGAAAATGGGTCGGGTTAAAATCAGAAAATTGATCCGAAATTCTGAAATCGGATCTTTGAAAATTTTTTTGGAATATAAATTCGAATTAATGATGAAAAATCGAAATAAAATCAAATATTTATAGAAATCAAATAAAATCTGATTGTACTTATGGTAACTAATAATAAAAGCATATTCCAAATAATATTATACATTAATTACGTATAATAAATTTGTTCATATATTTTTGGGACTAATTCCATAACAATCAACGTTTTTGTCATTAATTTCGCTCATTTTAGCCAATTATCATTAATTGAAAGATATTTTACTTGCTTCTAAAGATTTCTAGAAAATTTATCACAAATAACCCATCTGTTTTATAAATTAAATTGATATTTTTATTTTGGTCGTGTAAATTAAATAGATATATTTATTTTGGTCGTGTAAATTAAATAGATATGAAATCCATGTAACTAATTTTAATTTAATTAGATTAAATCGAAATTATGATATTTTCATACCTATAGCTTACCAAAGAAGTTTAATTTTCAATTTATAAAGATTTCTTGAATATGATTTTAGAATTATTCAACAAGATGATAAGTATTTATTAAATTTTGTGAATCATGAAAATAATAATTAATTTTTAATCATTATACTTCATCTTTCAATCTCTCATCTAACAAATAAGATACATATTCTATTATTACTATGTTCAAACTTCATTTTGTCGTATGACTAAATAATATTCCCATTAGAACTGTCAAAGCGAGTTAATTCATCCCGTTAAGTCCGTTTTGCGATAGACAAAAAATATTTTGACTTGTAGTTTGTCGGTCCGCACGACCCGCGGGTAGCATATATGAAATACAAACCCGTCCCGCGAATGTATGCGGATTTGTGGGATTGTCCATGAATTTTGTTTAAATAATTTTAAAGTAACCAAAATTTAAAATACTACTAAAATAAGTAAATAAATCAAAATACTATTAAAAGTTTGTTTAAATTACCACATGTTGAATAAATTATAATTTTATCAATAAATACTAATATGCGGGCTGATCCGCCAACCCGCGGATGAAAACCGATTAAACCTATGACCCACTGCGAATTAATCCATGTGGCCCGCTTATTTGCGGGTTTAATATATTTTCCCAAATCTGCCCCATAGTGAGATGATGTGGGCTCGACCCGCGGTTTTTGACCTATTTTGACTGCTCTAATTCTCATGAATCGTCTAATTTTAGAATTTTAAAACACAAAATTCTATTTTGTAAATCATAATTAATACGATGGGTATATTTATAAACAATTTTACATTTTCTCTATAATTCGTTATTATGAATATCTATAAGTATACTACACGTTTCGTTCTACTAAAAAACACACACAATATTAAACGCAACGTATGTAAACCAATATTCTCCCGCGGTCCACCGCGGGTCCGATCCTAGTGCTCCTCTTATTATTAAAGGATCCAGCTCAAACCACATATATTATTCTTATAATATATTATATGGACCGTGGTCCTAACATTTTAACTCAACACGTATCAAAAGAAAAAAAAAATAAAAAAAATAAAAAGAAAAAAGGAACAGAACTTCAAATCCAATATCATTATTTATGTAAAATAACCCAAGTAGCTTTTTTTTTTTTTGTCGGTAATCCAAGTAGTTTATTCGATATGCGGTCAAAAAAGTTTGTTTGATATATAATTATCTTGAGATTGATTTATAGTCACATGCACTCCAAAATTTAAACTCAAGAGGGTCGGAGAAATTGGTTAAACCGTGCCAAATCGAAGTTAAACCAAATTTGGTTTTGAGTAAAGTTTTTTCTAAACCTTGATTGGTTCTCCCGCTAGCATCCTCCTAGCGGTTGGTTGCGGTTGTTAGCGGTTGGTACCAATCATGGAAACCGTTCCATACCGCTTCGAACCGCTCGAAATTGCTGAATTTCAAAAGCTCCTTCCCGCAAGCGTTTGCGGTTACGGGCGGTAGCGTTTAGATTTTATTAAAAAATAATTAAAAAATAAATCAAATGTTTACTTATAATCTATATATAATAGCAATCTAATAAATACCATTTGCACATCTGAACGGTTGTGTCTTTTTATCGTAACCTTTCGTTTAAATCGGTTATTTTTTTTACGGTTATTTTGGTTGCGTCTTTTTATCGTAATTTTTGTTTTAATCGATTATTTTTTTACGGTTATGTCGTTTCCAATAAATACCATTTGTACATCTAAACGCTTGTGTCCTTTTATTGCAATCTTTCGTTTAAATATTTATGGTTGTTTTTCAGTTATTTTTGTACGGTCATGTTGTTTTATTGAATTTCTTTTTACGTAAACCAATAAACTACATAAATTAGTTTATTTCATAGTTTACATATGGATATATTTTTAATTTTTAAACTAAAATTTATATTTTACGAGTATATTTTTTAGAAAATTGCAATCCGAATATCTTCTGCGGTTGCTTCTTTTTATTGTACCTCTTCATAAACAGTTGCAACCGTTTATTCGAATTATTGCAATATTTAGTTTATTTCACGAATAATTGCAACCTTTAGTTTATATCACAAACAATTGTAACCTTTGATTTATATATTTAGTTTATTTCACGAACGATTGCAATCTTTGATTTATATATTTTGTTTTGTATTTCACGAACAATTCCAACCTTTGGTTTATTTTACAAATTGCTATAACATCTAATTATCTACCGTCGCGTCTCTCGGTATAATTTTCATAAATTAATATTTTTAATTTTTAATTACCAAAATGCATTTAAATGAGATTGTTATCGTTTAGTTGAACCGTTGAAACATTTGGTTTATTTGACCAATCATTGCAATTTTTGGTTTTGTTTTACGAACCATTGTAATTTTTAGTTTATTTGACGAACTTGACGACCCGCTACAACTTTTGATATATCGTAACATTTCATTTATTTCTTTTTAAACTAAAAAAATTATTTTATGTTATGTTTTTTGAGAAAGTTGCAATCCGAGTAAATATTTTTTACGGTTGCATCTTTTATCGTAATTTTTCATAAAATGATTGCAGCCGTTTAGTTGAACCATTGCAACATTTAGTTTATTTCACGAAAAATTGCAACTATAAGTTTATTTTATAAATCGTTATAACATTTAATCATCTACCATCGTTATTATTAATTTTCGTTTGATATTTTTTAACAATTTTTGAAATATTTTCCCCCGCGATCCTAGTTATTATAATATATATTAATCTTATATATATCTTTCATCTTTCTATCACGTTCTCATGAGAAAACCCTAATCAATATTCTCAAACTCTATTCTCTCAATTATGTCTTCCACCCAAACTGATGAAAATCAAGAATCAAACGTAAGTATCATATATCCTTTTATTCATTCATCACTTCATGTGCAACTCTTCGAATATTTTTCATGACATCGTTTTTTCTTTTCATTATGTATTGGTTTGCTTGATGATTGAATATATGTTTTAATTTCTTTTCTCGAATAGAAACTCACTTGGTCAGATGAGATGACCCGTCTCTTGTTAGAAACTTAGAATTAATAACACTAGAGAAACAAGCTGGAAATTCTAGAGGCAAAAGTTTGAGTGAGAAAGGAAAAGAAAACGTTCTCACGGAATTTAAAAAGCAATTTCCACTAACCTTAAATTGGAACAAAATTAAGAACAGACTTGATACTTTAAAGAAGCAATACGAAGTCTATCGTAAAATCACGTTTGGGTCGACTGGGCTTGGAACTAATCAGAGGACAGGAAGTCTTGATGCCCCTGACCATTGGTGGAAAGATAAAATTAAGGTACGTAACCACATAGTTGTATTTATATATTAATTTCTTGTTTTCTATTCTTATTTTGATTGAAATTTGTTTTTGGTTTATAAGGCTTATCCTGAAGCTGCTAAACTTCGGTCGCACCCACTGCGGTTTATACCACTTCTTGATGTGGTCTTCCGAGATGAAACTGTTGTGGTTGAGGAGTCATGGCAACCAAGACGTGGTGTATATCGTCGTGCTCCAATAATGGACTTAAGTGACAATGAATGGGTAAACAATAATGGAGAAGACAAAAGAGAGGTACCTTCTTTTTCTTTTTGCTAATTAAACGTGTTTCTATTTCAATTATGATAGTAGATTTGGTTAAATTTTGCTAATGATCATGTTGATTTTAGTTGTAATTATGTTTTATTATATCTGTTTTAAGGTCATATTCATGGCTTCCCAACCTAATCTTTTGGCTTCCACTTCTAAAGTAAGTTATTTTTATGTTTATGCATAATTTATAATTTACTGGATTACAATATATAGTTTATTGAAATATATTTTAATATTTCAAAAATTTATGTGGTCAGACGAGATCACATATGCTTTACTTCAACGGGTTATTGTGGAGAAACAAACGGAAGAAGCCAAAGAAGAACCCAAAATCAGATTTCTAAGTGGTGTTCAAAGAGAAAATATTCTTAAGAATATTAACGACCAGTTTGGAATTGATTTGAGTTGGAGCCGTGTTAAAAATCGTTTGGATACCTTGAAGAAATTTTACAATATTTATAAAGGAAATCCAGAAAATCCGCGAATTCAACGTTATTTGCAGTTTGTCCCATTACTTGATGCAATTTTTGGTGTTAAACCAGATGCATAAGTACTATCTTGTTACAAAATTTCTTTATTTTTTTATAATTATTTAGTGCTTTATTTATGGTTTTAATTATTAAGAATGTTCAATTTTTCTAATATTATCATAATAATATATTGGTTTTCTATTTCTTTTTTTTGTAATATTTTTGTATTTATTTTGGTTATTTTTTATTTAACTGCTACTGCACCCGCTGGTTTACCAGTCATAAAACTCCCGCAAACGCATCCATTTTTAAATGTTAAACCAGTCTTTTAAAACGCTTTGTAACGCTTAAAGCCGCAACCGTCCGCTTCCGCAAACTCCCGCAACCGCAACCGTAACCGCAACCACTGTGTTTAAACCAGTCAGGCCCTGAATGAACCGAGATGAGAAAGATGAACCCAAAACAAAAATTAAGTTCTCTTGAATATCATTCTGAGGAAAACATTATTTGGAAAAAAAATAATCAAAACGGATATATATAGTTTTCTTTCAAAATTTAACAAACCGATAAAACAACAAAGATAAACAAAACAATACCTAATTACATTAATTTCATATTTTAAAAATTTTGACTTTAAACTAATACCAATAGTATATATCTGTGTGAGTTAACGTTAATGAAAAAATATATTATAAAGATCATACATATGACAAGAAAAGAGTTAGATAGATTGATTTTTTAATGAAATTAAATATTTTAAGTATCCTTTGTTGGACCCAAAGGTCAGCAAGTGTGCTTCACCACAAGTATTATATTCCATTTCCCCTCACACGAATCTTAATATAATTCTATGCAAAAGTAGCCACCAGCACCAAATATCATAATCAAACTTTTGGGAAAATTATGAATAATTATCTCATGGAATTATTAAGATAGATCATGCATATGGACCACATTTAAAAATGAAAAGCAGTATAACCACTAGTTCTGCCTGTTTTTAAGGGTTTAATTGGTTCTCATAAAGATCCAAATCTTGTTTCCTTTTACAATTTGCAAGTGTGCCTTAATCCTCATACATCATTGGGCAAATATATATAAGCTTTGTTATAATATCAGAAGGTTATGTGTTTTACAATATTAGCAGAGCAAAATCATGTGAAGTGTTGTTACGTATGTATAGTATACTGTAAACACTAGACTAATAAGTCGATTTATGTTCAATTTAAAATCAAAATCCCAAAAATATAGACATAAATAGGAAATACTTGAGATACAATGACAGTTTTAACATAGAGAGTGTTTTTGTTTGTTAAATGTTTTAAAATAGAGTTTTACTATGCTTTTGGAATCTTTCATCTTATGTGCAAACTACAGATAAATTATATGTATTACCATTAGGAATCGGACCAATATAATAGATATCAGGATTAGATATCTAGCTCTCGTCACCATCACTTAGCATTAACTTCTATTGATTGATAGAGATTCTATTTTCTTTTACTAAAAAAAAAAACTAAATCAACATTAAGTGTGCAATTGTGTGTTGTCCACACAAGTTACTTAAAATTATACCGCAGGTGGGAGGGACCATTGCTGCAAATTGTTTCCGAACCACTCCAATTAATTTCTTTCTTTCTGATTTTGTTATCCGGAAAATTATGGAACCACTTTATTTCAACTTCAAAACTATTTAAAATGTAGAAGCATCTTGGTACATTAGTCAATGATTTAAAGACTTTTACACTAGATTTGAGGTTCGATCATCAGATACCACAACTTCTTATAAATTATTTATGTAAATTTTGTCGGAGACGCCAAAGTACAGCATGCAGAGTCGCATGTTCTAATTTCGTGTGTTGCAGAGGAAAACATGTCATCGGATATTATAAATGTAGAATCGTTTTTCATGGATCTGAGCGTTACGAGGAAAGCTGTATAGCTTGCATTGTGAAATCGTTATTCGTGAAAATTGTTCATCGTAATTACATATATTTCATATATTCTATCACCATAATAAAATTGATCAAATACTTTTAATAATAATGTAACCATAATTTTGTACAAGAGTATTTAATTAGTAAAGGTTTTTTAAAATGTTTGGAAAATTCCAAAAATTACAAAAAAATTCAAAAAATTGTCAATGAATGAAAAAGAAAGTCAAAAAGTTATATGCAAATGAATGAAAGAATATCATTTGTACAAAACCACTTAAAATTTGGAAAATTCAAAAAACTTGTCAAAGTTTTTATCTCAGCCGTGTGTCTTCCTTTCCTAGCCGCCACATCTCACACACTAATGCTCACCACGCGATGTAACCGTAAGCGCTGAGTTTTTGCAGTTTCCAGATTTCACTTCCACCAATCAAAACTCGCCACGTCATCAATACGAATCATTCCGTATAAACGTCCAGATTCTTTATAGGCTAAATGTTCTCTACTTTGGTCGGCCATTATTTAACGCTTTGAACCTAATCTAGCCCAGCCAAAGAAGAAGACGAAGCAAAACCAAATCCAAAGATCTCCATTTTCGTAGCTTCTTTAAACCAAAGAGAAAGTTTTTCACTTTTTTGATTAGAAATGGCTTTAGCTGTTACTTCTTCTTCTTCAACTGCGATCTCTGGATCAAGTTTCTCTCGTTCAGGAGCTTCTTCTGAATCTAAAGGTACTAACTTTCTCTTTCATTTTCTCGGGAAAATCATCAAAATTGATTCTTTGATTGTTTATTGTGATACCCATTTGCTGGATTCTGATGAATCTAATCGGAAAATTTTCAAATTTGGTGTTGCAGCTCTTCAAATCTGTTCGATTAGGTTATCAGATCGAACCCATTTGTCTCAGAGACGTTACTCTATGAAACCTTTAAACGTTGAGTCACATTCACGAAACGAATCTTGGGTTTCTCGTGCTTCAACTCTAATTGCTCCTGGTTCGTGCTTGTGACTATTCTCAGATTTCGAATTTCACTTTTTCTGATTTGTTTTTCGATTACTGATTTTGATGAGTTGTCACAGAAGTTGAAGAGAAAGGAGGAGAAGTTGAAGACTTTGAGCAACTTGCTAAGAAGCTTGAAGATGCTTCTCCACTTGAAATCATGGATAAAGCTCTTGAGAAGTTTGGAGATGAAATCGCAATTGCTTTTAGGTAAGATTTGATTATAAATCATTGAGAAATTGATTCAATTAGGTAAAATAGAAAACTTTAGTTGACTTATTATGAATCTGGTTTTGATTTTTGTAGTGGTGCTGAAGATGTTGCATTGATCGAGTACGCTCGTTTAACTGGAAAGCCTTTTAGGGTTTTTAGTTTAGATACAGGGAGGTTAAACCCGGAAACGTACAGACTCTTTGATGCTGTCGAGAAGCAGTACGGGATTCGAATTGAGTACATGTTTCCTGATGCAGTTGAGGTTCAAGCTTTGGTGAGGAACAAGGGTTTGTTCTCTTTCTATGAGGATGGTCATCAAGAGTGTTGCCGTGTGAGGAAAGTAAGACCTTTGCGTCGTGCTCTTAAGGGTCTTAAAGCTTGGATTACAGGACAGAGGAAAGATCAATCTCCAGGGACGAGATCTGAGATTCCGATTGTTCAGGTTGATCCGGTGTTTGAAGGGTTAGATGGTGGTGTTGGAAGTCTTGTGAAGTGGAATCCTTTGGCTAATGTTGAAGGAAGTGATGTGTGGAACTTTTTGAGGACAATGGATGTCCCGGTGAATGCATTGCACGCACAAGGATATGTGTCAATCGGGTGTGAGCCTTGTACTAGGCCGGTGCTTCCTGGTCAGCATGAGAGAGAAGGAAGGTGGTGGTGGGAAGATGCTAAAGCTAAAGAATGTGGTCTGCACAAAGGGAACATCAAGGAGGAAGATGGTGCTGCGGATTCAAAGCCTGCGGCTGTGCAAGAGATATTCGAAAGCAACAATGTGGTTGCATTGAGTAGAGGAGGGGTTGAGAATCTTATGAAGCTAGAGAATCGCAAAGAGGCGTGGTTGGTTGTACTTTACGCTCCTTGGTGCCCTTTCTGCCAGGCGATGGAAGCATCATACATCGAATTGGCTGAGAAACTTGCGGGAAAAGGAGTTAAAGTGGCGAAATTTCGGGCTGACGGTGAGCAGAAGGAGTTTGCTAAGCAAGAACTTCAGTTAGGGAGCTTCCCGACGATACTTCTCTTTCCGAAAAGCGCTCCACGAGCTATTAAGTACCCGTCAGAGCATAGAGATGTTGATTCGCTCATGACGTTTGTGAATCTTCTTCGATGAGTTATGAGATCGAAAATCAAAATAGTGTGGTGAAGAATGAAAGAGAATTGAGATGAAGGAGTGATTTCATCTTGGTTATAAAGATTGTGGACCTCAGAGAATAAACAAGAGTTTCTCTTCTATATGATTTTGTATATTTGTATTGTAGGGTTTTATAGACTCTTTTTGTATAACGTTTTTTTCTTGTGACAAGAAATTGGTTTATCAAATCTATAATTCAGCAAATCATAACTTAAGAAAAACAATCTAAACTACAGAGAATCAAATTTTAAAATACCAAACTCTAATCCGGTTAAGGCCGGTCCTAAACAGAAGGATCAAAGATTTGACCAGCGAACAAAACAGTTCCGGTTTGGTTTTCTCTAATCAAGAAAACAAACGGATGATCTGCTACAAAATCTAATGTCTTCACAAAACGGCAGCCTTTGCATCGAACAAAAGCTGCTACAGCAGCAGCTTCAGTACCTTCTTCATCGATCTCAATCAAAGCTTTTTGGTACAATGACACATCAAGCTCAAAGTCACTGAAAACACTTGAAGCTTCAAACCCAAATTCGATCTTAAACTTTGGAATTCTGAATTTACCAACTTTAACTTTGTCTTCCGGAATATGACTATCCAAGAATCCAGAAGTAGATGTCATTCTCCCCAACAGTTTATCCAATTGCCCTTTCTTGTCAGGGAGATAGAAATACATTGAGAAGTTGCGGTTGGTATCGTCACGGCCTTGTCGATAAGGAAGCCTGAGTACCTTGAAACCATCATAAGCCTCAATGTATTGGTCTTCAGAGCTACTCATGAATGGCACAGACACTGATGTTCCATTGAGAAGGTAAAAAGGTTTGTGTCTCGTCATTGACTTGTGGAATTCGTCTTGCCAGGCTCCTTTGAAGTACAATGTGCTTCCATAAATCCGGTTGGTTAGGCTTGTAACTGATCCACGAGGAAGAAGATCTTTGATGAGACCATTTGTGTGACTTGATGCCCACGCATTCACCTCCATAAGCACTTCTTCGGCCTTTAAAACAACCAAAACCACAACCAGTCGAACCAAAGATCAAATATACGGATTATAAACCTAACCAAGAGATGTGTAAAACATATTTCATTCAAAAAAATATGTAAAACTAGAGAAATCAGAAACTAACCTTGGATCTGAAATCAACTTGAGCGAAAGCAGCCTTGAAGAACTTCTTAAAGAGATCTTTCGACGAGGGGTTAATAAATAGAGATTTCTCCATCCAAACACCATTAACCACCGCGATTTTGGGGCCGCCTTTTTTGCTTCCATCAACAAGGACGGTGGAAGAGATTTCGCTAAAAACTGCGTTAAGTTCATCGGTTGAGGAAGACTTAAGGAAGGATAGGATGAAGGATCTTAGTTCTCTACTTTCTTCATCACTGGAGCTAGCAGCAACCATGGTGAGTACGGTGTTGATTGATGCAGGAGAGAAGACAAAATTAGTATTATTGGCTACGGAAGAGATTACTAGCCCCGTAAGGAATATAGCGAGATCGTTTTGCTTCTTCATTGCTTTTCCCACATCAATATTTGCTAGAGAAGGACTTTTGATTACCAAATCTTTATTCTTTGACAGAGAGGAACTTGTGATTACTTGTGATTTTCTGATTTTTTGCTTCTTCTTCTTCTTTAGATGCGTCTTTGAGAGAGAGGGACTTGCGATGATTTCTGATGTGTCAAGCTTTTGCTTTTTCTCCTTGGGCTCCATCTTTCAAGTTTTCTAGTTTATTTCTTCTGAGCTTATAAACATGTCCGTGTATAAATAGAGAGAACATATAAGATGGAATTAGGGTTTGGTGTGTTGCCTCATTGAGAAAAAAGAAGAAATTTTCCTATATTAACTTTGTTGCTTGTTACGCAAGTTTGCTTGCTTTCTTAAGTCTCATGTTATTATAGTCAAAAGAAAGAAAAAAATGTTAGAACAAAATGGCCCATCATCAACCTCGGTTGTTTCCTTTTCTCCTTGTAACACAAACGCAACAAATCTGAAGTGGGCTTTTGTGTAGAGACTGGCCCAAGTTACTTTATGAATTCTAATAGGACCAATAAGGAAATGAGTAAGCCCAAAACTCACGCAAAATAACAATCGTTACCAAAATAAAATTGAATCCAGCATGAATCGGTTTGTGTGAATCGTGTTACCCTTTAAACCCTAGTTTCTTCTTTCTTCCTTCCCCCTCAAATTTTGATTTTTACCATTTTGGGTTTCTCGAACACTCATTGAGCTACTATGAGTCACTGGTGAATCAGATAGCTTGCTCGAAGCCGTTTCAAGCATTTGTCAATCGCATTGTATTGTCATGTGTTCTTCTCTGATTCCTCATGGAAAAAGGTTGGTCCAGTTTCAGAAAGGGCATAACTTTAGTGTCTCAGTGAAGCTTTTCCAAAATGTATTCTCTGCTTTTTCCAATTCCTTCTCATCTGTTGCTAGTTCTCATGATGTGAGCATTAGAGATGGTCGAAAAGGTAACAACTTTACAGTCTCTTACCTCATTGATTCACTTGGTTTAACTAAAAAGCTCGCAGAGTCGATTTCAATAAAAGTCCGTTTCGAGAACAAGGCCAATCCTGATTCTGTTCTGAGTCTTTTGAGAAGTCATGGGTTTACAGATTCTCAGATCTCCAACATCATTACGGATTATCCACTATTGCTCATAGCAGATGCTGAGAATTCCCTTGGTCCCAAGCTTAAGTTGCTGCAGTCAAGAGGAGCTTCAAGCTCTGAGCTCACTGAGATTGTTTCTAAAGTTCCTAAAATCTTAGCAATGAAAGGGGACAAAAGTATCAGCAGATACTATGATATCGTCAAAGAGATTGTAGAAGCGGATAAGAGTTCCAAGTTCGAAAAGTTGTGTCATTCTTTGCCAGAGGGTAGTAAGCAGGAGAATAAAATCAGAAATGTATTGGTTTTGAGAGAATTGGGCGTGCCTCAAAGGTTGTTATTCTCCTTGCTCATCTCTAATCACCATGTCTGCTGTGGAAAAGAAAAATTTGAAGAATCACTCGAGAAGGTTGTTGGGATGGGTTTTGATCCCACCACCCCAAAGTTTGTGGAAGCCTTATGCATTGTTTACGGATTGAGCGACAAAAGGCTAGAAGAAAACTTCAATGTCTATAAAAGGTTCGGCTTAACTGTAAACGATATATGGGAACTTTTCAAGAAGTGCCCTGCCTTTCTTGGATACTCAGAGAATAGGATAATTCAGACATTTGAAGCCTTAAAGAGGTGTGGTCTGTGCGAAGATGAGGTCATGTCAGTGTTCAAGAAGAATCCACTATGCTTACGTGCTTCAGAGCAGCAGATATTGAATTCCATGGAAACATTTATTGGCTTAGGATTTAGCAGAGATGAGTTTGTGATGATGGTCAAGCGCTTTCCTCAGTGCATTGGATATTCTGCAGAGATGGTGAAGAAGAAGACTGAGTTTGTGGTGAAGAAGATGAATTGGCCACTAAAGGTCATAACTTTGTTCCCTCAGGTACTTGGATACAGCATGGAGAAGAGGATTGTCCCAAGGTGTAACGTAATCAAAGCTCTTATGTCCAAAGGATCGCTTGGAAGCGAACTCCCTCCAATGCCGTCTGTCTTGGCATGTACCGATCAGACCTTCTTAAACAGGTATGTGGTGGAGCATGATGAAAAGCTGGTGCTTGAGTTGATGGCTATCTTCAACCAAGATCGTATCTCATAGCAAAGAGAGGTTGTGTCAAGTATTTTGCTTTTATTAATTAATTTTTGACTTTTGTAATCTCAATTTGATCTGGATCCCAACTATATACAATCCAACTTTTAAGGTAACTGTAACTTTCCTGTGGTTGATATGATAAAGCAAAAGAGCTTTGGAAGACATGTTATGTGTTCGTAGAGAATTGCAGTCAAGAGAACAAGTGTTTTTACATGCATGGTTCCTAGCTCTAAATCTTCAAATAGATTAGTTTGGCTCTTTCTACATATATACAGAAGATGTTTTGCATGTAATGTATTATTATCTCAATAAACCAAAAGTTAAGAGAAAATAAATAAATTACAAATCTCTTTGTCTAGAAGGTTTTGTTGTTTTAATATGGTATCATATTACAACAACAACACATAACATGATACATAGCTATTGAAGACTGAGATACAATAATAATCTCATTCGGGTATTTCGGGTTAGGATTAGGGTTTACCCGAAGTATTCAAATATTAAAAAATTTGTATCCGATTCTATGCAAAGTATTGAAATACTCAAAAAATCTATAAATTTTAAATATTTAATACCCGAATCTAACCAAAAGTAGCTAAAACACCTAAAAATATCTTAATATCCGAATAATTTAGACACTACGACTATTACAAGTATAAATATTACTAATATATTATAACTATGTATTTATATTTCGGATATGTTCGGGTACTTTATTGGGTTCGGGTTCGGATCGGATTCGGATTCGGGTTTAGAAGTTTAGAGCCTGTTCGGGTATTTTAAAACTTCGGGTTCGGATTTGGATCGGATTTTTTAGATCGGGTTCGGTTCGGTTCTTCGGGTTCGGGTATGATGCACAGACCTAATTTTTGTAGTCCGATACCCGAATTTAAAAGGTTTTATTTTTCCCACCTATATACACAAACTATATATACACAAATACTCTAATCACATTTCTTGTTTAGTTGTTTCAAAATCCATCATCTCTCTAGCATTGATTCTTTCTTCTAACTCTCTCAAAGAATCGCCGAAAGAAGAGAGATCAAGAAATAGTCATGGTGTCATCGCCACGGAGTGAATCTACCTCCGGCAACAACAATACAACCACTCCCGATGGAATCAGCGGCAAGAGAACTCCTTCCTCTTCTTCTTCGGAAGATAAATCTCCTTCATCCAAACGCCCAAAGGTTTCTGATCGGAGACCTTACTTCTTCCCCATCTGGAGCTTCTGGTTTGAAATATTTAGGGCGATTTTGGGGATTTCCGTTTTCGTTTCAGTTGGGAGATGGCGGCGGCGCTTCTATCGAGAACAGTAAACCTCCAACCTCCGGAGAAGCCAAGATTGCGGCGGAACCACCACCACCTCCTGTTGCGGAAGGTCCGTCGTCACTCTTAATTATTGTTCGATCTTTCTGCGTTTTGAAATTGGATTCTCAAATTGATTTTGGATTGTTTATAATCTTCAAGGCTCAACACCAGATAGTTCTTTTTCCGGATGGAAATATCAACACAGTACATTTAAGACTCCATGGTGTCGATTGCTATCAGAGTCTGCACAGGTTTGCTTTTTAACCTCTCTATCAATTTTTTTAGGTTTTAATGCTTTTATCCTGACAAATTGATGGATTTTTCAGCATCCAAACGTTAACATTTCTACATCGTCCTTCACTATTGGTTCTTGTCTAACCTCCAACCTCACATTAAAAGATCGGAATCTTGGTGCATTATTGTGCAAGATCACAAGAATTCAGGTTAATTTTGTAATCAAGATCCTTTGATAATCGTCTCATTTTATTGTGCACTGCTGCTGGAGTTTGTGGAGTGTGGAGATATGCAGTATGTATTCTCATTGTTTGTGCACATGTTCAGCGCAATGGCAATGTTGTAGCGGTTCTAGATATCACAGGAACCGGGGGACCTGTGCGGATAAATGGAGCACTTGCCAACAAGAATGTCAGCCATGTCCTACACTCTGGTGACGAATTGGTTTTCGGTGACGAATTGGCTTTCGTATCCTCATGTGATCCCACCTTTTTTGTCCTTCAGTTTTAACATGTGTTATCAGATGACTAAATTACACATAAGTTTTCCCATCAAGTTCTATCCAGATATATCAGCAGATGTCTAAAGTTGCAGTCAAATCTGGTGGGGAACAGGTTCCTGCAGCAAAATTTCTACAGTTAGAGAGAGAGGCAAGAGATCCATCAACTGTTTCGATTTTGGCATCGCTTGAAATCTCGCGTGAGAATCCTGCTACTTCTGGCGTCCAAGAAGGCGCAGAGCTTGAATTTGACAATCAAAGTAATAAAGCTGCAGACAGTGGAGTAGTCAGCAGCCACAACCAAGATTCCAAAATGGAGGTAATTACTCTATCTTTCCCTTGGACCCTGGCGTCATCAACAATATTTAGCACTATATTAACAAATCTGGTATCAGATATTAGATGAGAAAAACGAGGTGACAAGGAGGCCAGAACAAGCTGCAAGATTCAGGAAATATATTCAAGCTGGAATTGTTGAAGGCGAAAGATTGAAATTTTCATTCGAAAATTTTCCTTATTATTTGAGGTATTTATGCAGAGTTAAGATATGTGCATGTGAATTTTTCATTACGAATCTGTTTATTATCATCATAGAATATTTAGGTCTAATTTTGCTCTAATTTTTTTTTCTTCTGACTTTGAATTATCAGAAATTTTAACTCCCTTCCTGAAGTATTAAACTAAGAAAATATGAGTGTTTATCCTTCCCGTCGCAGTCTTTCACACGAATCATATTGCATGGGTACTGTTCTATGTTTGGTTTATGCTGAGTAAGGTCTTTCTGTTTTATTTTTGCAGTGAGAATACAAAGAACGTCTTACTAGCTGTTTCACATATACATCTGAACAAAGAGAATACAGGATATGCCCTATATGCCTCCGACTTTACCACTTTGAATCCAAGGATATTGCTTTCTGGTCCTGCAGGTTTGTGGTATCTTGCTTGTGTGGTTCCTGTACTTCTTTTAGGCGGCAATATCATTTTCTCTTTTTGGTTGGAATTGTCTCAGGAACTGAAATATACCAAGAGATATTAGCTAAAGCACTTGCCAAATACTTCAAGGCGAAATTGCTAATTTTTGACGGCCATCCAATTTTGGGGGTAAGATATTGGCATCTACACTTATTTATCTGTTTTCTTGACAACGGGTATGATATTACCGCAGTAATTCCTGGTGCAACCGCTCTGCAATTTCCTGCAGGTTATGACTGCTGAAGAATTTGAGTCACTGATGAATGGACCTGCTTCTAAAGAGCTCATTGACCGAGGGAAAAGCTTGGATTTGTCAGCAGGTGAAGGAGGTTCATCTAGCCCTTCTCCTGCTACTTCTCCCGGTCCAGACTCACAGCCTAAGTTTGAGCCGGAGACTTTACCTTGTTCATTTGGAACTCCAGTGAATCATACTTTGAAGAAAGGCATGCCCCTTTATATTGTTTGCAACAAAAGAATGTTCTTCAATATTCTTAGATTTCTGGTTTACTGATACTTCATTGGGAAAAAACACTTGCAGGTGACAGGGTAAGATTCATAGGTGATGAGTTGTGTTCGGGGCTACCTACCTCAAGGTTTGCTTCTTATGTTAGTTCTGATGGAGGCAGCTGCTGAGACTGATATTGGCTTCTATATAGTATGACTATGAATATTTGTTGGTTTTGGTGAAGAAAGTGTTGTCTTCTTTTATAAGAAAAAATCAAATAATTTATTGATGAATTACTTTTATTTACATCCAAGAATTATATCTCTTTCAAAAAATCTATTTCCTACTATATAATTTTATCTTCTGAACTTTTTTCTCTTGCCTTTTTATAGTCACTCTTTGACTTAGTGATCCACTTTTTACTTAATCTTATTCAGGGGACCACCTTATGGGGTTAGAGGGAAAGTACTTTTAGTATTTGATGAGAATCCTTCAGCTAAAGTGGGTGTTAGATTTGAGAATCCAGTAGTTGATGGCGTTGATCTTGGTGAACTGTGTGAAATGGGACATGGGTTCTTCTGCAGTGGTAGGTCATGTTCAGTAGTGCATTGGTTACTGGTCCTCAGCAGCTCTTGTCTCACACACTTATTCGTCTGTTTTTTATATAGCTACTGATCTTCAGTTTGAAAGCTCGGGTTCTGAGGATCTAAATGAATTACTTGTTAGCCAATTGTTTGAGGTACTTGTCAGTTGCAAAGTAATGAATTGTTTCTTCATCTAATACTCCGTCTTATACTTAGTCTAATACTTCGTCTGTTTCCAGGTTGCCCATGATGAGAGCAGAACTTGTCCGGTTATTCTATTCCTGAAAGATGATGAGGAAGTTTTTGTTGGAAATTCCGATTTCTGCTCTGCATTCAAAAGCAAAGTTGAAGAAATCCCAGATAACGTAATTGTGATCTGTTCACAGACACACTCTGATAATCACAAGGAGAAGGTAGTTACTATGAGATGCTTTTGCTTCAGTTGCATGCATTGAGCTCATTTCGCAAAAGTTATTAATTTTCTCAATTATAAACTTTTCCGAGGGCAAATAAGTGTGTTTCCTTTATGCATGTCACAGGCATAAAAATCATCGTTACATTTTTTTTAGAGCATTCTAGCTGCTGCATTTTCCGTGTTTCAGTGGTTGAAGTAGACTTTTAATGTTGTATGTTCACTAATTCATTACATGTAGGCTTTAACCTTTTGACCATACTGCGAAATTAATCTGGTGTCTAGTGCACTGGGAAAACTTGTTATGCTCCTCTTGTAACTGTTATCAGTTCTGTTTTCCAGTCGGCTTTCAATTCTGCATGTTTCCTTTTACGTATTTGATACGGAGGGTATCCCATTTCTTCTCGAGTGGGACTAATGTTACCTTTTGCTTAATATTCCCAGGATATTGGACTTCTAACGAATCTCTTTGGGAATAAAGTTACCATTTACGAGCCACAGGTCTGTTACTCTGTTCTAGTAGACGTAAGCACTCTCGTCTGTTGTCTGTCAAAAAAAACTTAAAGACTTGATGGAGCTAATTATTACTAGGGTGAGGATCTTCTTAAATCTTGGAAGTATCATTTGGATCGTGATGCTGAGACTTTGAAAACAAAGGCTAATCGCAATCACTTGCGCATGGTATGTCTTTCCTCTGAAATCTGACTATATGGTATCGGTAGCATTTTATGTCTGGATACAGAATAAGTTTTACATATGATGGGTGGGATTGAACTTGATTTTCAATCTCAGTGTTCTTAGATACATTCCTTATTTGCATATCTAGCTTCAAATATTTAAAGCTAATTTATATATGTGGCATTTTGGCTGTTAGACGTAATTGTGGAGGCACAACTGCAGACATAGCACATCATTAAAGTCTATAACTCTAACTTTCCTCTATTTTCAAAACTTGATTGCTAGTATCTCAAGTCACACGAAAATAAATTCTTGATAGTATACTTCAATTTAGGTGTTGGGACGATTTGGTATAGATTGTGAAGGCATTGAGACGCTGTGCATGAAGGATCTCACACTTCAAAGTGACAGTATGTTTTCCCTTTTGTTCGGCATGATGACCAGAGTTGACAATGGAATGCTTTTCGAAAAAGTTGACTTTGGATATCTGCATCAGGTGCAGAAAAGATCATTGGATGGGCTCTTAGTCACCATATAAAGTGTAATCCTGATGCTGATCCAGATGTTAGTGTCACTTTGTCTCTTGATAGGTAATTGGTAGCTTGTCCCTGTGCATTACATATCTGTTTCAGTATTGACTACTGACTATTGAGTATGAACTTTGGATCCTTTCAGCTTAAAATGTGGAATAGAACTCTTTCAGGCTCTTGTAAATGAAACTAAGAGCCCGAAGAAGTCTCTCAAGGTTAGCTAACCGTCTTGGAAATTGAATTGTTTCTTACTTAATTTCACTATGGCTATATTGTAACAATTGTTAATTTTCTCTCTTGCTTTCAGGACATTGTGACAGAAGTTGATTTTGAGATAAGTGATGTTATTCCGCCCAGTGACATTGGTGTTACATTTGATGACATTGGGGCACTTGAGAATGTCAAAGACACTTTAAAGGAATTGGTTATGCTTCCTTTACAACGGCCTGAACTTTTCTGCCAAGGGCAATTAACAACGGTGGTTATCTTATCCGCATTATGTTTTAGAAAAATCCCATAATGTTTTACTATCGCCTGCTTCGAATTGATCACAGATGGATCACCTTTTATTTGTGTGTGCCCATACATGTTCATAAGTTTTGTGAAGTAATGATGATATTAGTAATACTAGCTGATAGTTTGGCTTTCCTCAAAAACTTTCCCTCCTATATTTAGTTGTTACGTTATGCATTGGTGGCTTCCTAATCAGTCTGCTCCTGTACTTTTCTATGCAGCCTTGTAAAGGAATTCTCTTATTTGGACCTGCTGGAACTGGAAAGACCATGCTTGCAAAGGCATTGGCAACGGAAGCTGGTGCTAATTTGATCAACATCTCAATGTCAAGGGTAACAGAATATCCTTGAAAAGTTGGACTCTACCAATTTATACACGGAATCTCTTGTTCAAACTTGTGTTCTTCTCAATATTGCAGTGGTTTAGTGAGGGTGAGAAATATGTCAAAGCTGTCTTTTCGTTGGCCAGTAAAATCTCCCCTAGCATTATCTTTATGGACAAGGTAATTTCTCATGGTCAATTCCTGGGCGAATCTTGCCTGTAGTCAGAGCACTGACAGTCTTACAAGATTTTACTGTCTTGTAGGTGGACAGCATGCTATTCCAAGATCAGAAGACGGCAAATGAGTTCATAATAAATTGGGACGGTCTGAGGACAAACGAAAAGGAACATGTTCTGGTTCTTGCATCCACAAATAGACCTTTTGACCTTGATGAGGCTGTCATTAGAAGGTTGCCTCATAGGTAATTTATAAATAGCTTCCTTGTTGGACTAAGCTTTCTGTCAAATTGACATGTCGTAAAAAGTTTGTGGTATTGACTTGTGCAGGTTGATGGTGGGACTACCAGATGCTCTGAGTAGAGCAAAGATATTGAAGGTTATACTTGCAAAAGAAGACTTGTCCCCTGATTTTGATATCGATGCAGTTGCTAGTATGACTAATGGATATTCTGGAAACGATCTTAAGGTAAAATTCTTAGTAATTCCTTTAACCTTTTGTTATGGTCTGTCGAAATGATAAGAAATGTGAAGTAATGCTCATATATTTCCATGTTACATGCTCTTTTGGTGCGTGCAGAATCTATGTGTTACTGCTGCCCGCCGTCGAATCAAGGAGATAGTGGAGAAGGAAAAAAGTGTAAGTCGTCTTTGTGTTAAACCAAGAAAACTTACCTTATGCTGCCTAAAACTTCTCTATAGAAGAAAAATATGCTTATGATGGGATATTATATTATGGTAGGAGCGAGATGCTGCTCTGGCTGAAGGAAGAGTTCCTCCAGCACGAAGTGGAAGTTCTGATATCCGAGCTTTAAACATAGAGGATTTCAGAAACGCACTTGAGCTGGTATGATTTTTACTTGTGAGCTTTCTTTTCTCATCTGTCTCTGGCTCAGAGAACTATATAACTGTTGTCAATGTTGTTGAATCAGGTGAGTATGAGCGTCTCATCAGAGTCTGTGAACATGACAGCGCTTCGAAAATGGAACGAACATTACGGGGAAGGTGGATCCAGTAAATGGAACGAACATTACACGTAGGATAACATCTACTTTAGAAGCAGAATGTGTTGTATATTTTGTTCACGTGAATAGATAGATAGTCATAAAACAGTATAATATATAGTGAGTTCTGATATAGAATAACCGGGTTTTAGTCGGAGTTTTGATACAAACCGGTCAAGTTCGGTCACCTTGATTTTGATTACGATTAGTGAGTTTTCTGCTACTTAACAACGTATTAGCTGGAATATATGCAAGATTCCCTACAATAGCAAATTATGTTTTGTAGATAAAGTTTAATTTTGATCTTCTCTGATTACACAACGTCGAGCAAGTTAGCAAGAAATAGAGCGAGTCGACTAAACCGAACTATACTGATCATCCGGTTTGGTTTGATCGAATTTGAGCGACACGCAGTTCAACTCCATAACTTGGATTCGGCAGGCAGTTCACACAGATGTATATAACTGTGGCGACGCTTCTTCCCCACACAGAGGAAGTGAGAAGCTTGGAGGCTCACAAAGGTTAGAGCTTTATTCAATTTCTCGAATTGAATCAGCTTTAGCACACTCTGCGTTGTCTTTGTAATGTATTCTCTGATTCTCCATGGAAGAAAGTTGGTCCAGTTTCAGAAATGGCGTCACTTGAGGGTTTCGGTGAATCTTTATCAAGATGGATCTGCTTTTTCCAATTCCTTCTCCTCCGCTGCTAGTGCTTCTGATGTGAGTCCTAGAGTTGGTCGAAAAGGAAACAACTTTACAGTCTCTTACCTCGTTGATTCATTGGGTTTACCTAACAAGCTCGCAGAATCTATTTCAAGGAAAGTCAGCTTCGAGGACAAGGGCAATCCTGATTCTGTTCTGAGTCTTTTGAGAAGTCATGGGTTCACAGATTCTCAGATCTCAAGCATCATTACGGATTATCCAGTATTGCTTATAGCTGATGCTGACAAATCACTTGGTCCCAAGCTTCAGTTTTTGCAGTCCAGAGGAGCTTCAAGCTCTGAGCTCACTGAGATTGTTTCTGCAGTTCCGAAAATCTTGGGAAAGAAAGAGGGAAAATCTATCAGCGCATACTATGATTTCGTCAAAGTCATTATAGAAGCAGATAAGAGTTCCAATATGGGAAGGATATGTCATTCTTTGCCAGAGGGTAGTAAGCAGGAGAATAAAATTAGAAATGTTTTGGTTTTGAGAGAATTGGGGGTACCTCAGAGGGTTTTATTCTCATTGCTTCTATCCGATGGCAGACATGTTTGTGGAAAAGAAAAATTTAAAGAATCACTCAAGAAGGTAGTTAAGATTGGTTTTGATCCAACCACCTCAATGTTTGTCGAAGCTCTCAAGGTTCTTTACACATTGAGCGACAAAGGAATTGAAAGTAAATTCAATGCCTTTAAAAGGTTAGGCTTGGCTGTGGGCGATGTATGGGCAATGTTCAAGAATTGGCCAAACATTCTGACAGTCTGAGAAGAAGATAGAGAACTCCATTGAAACATTTCTAGGTCTAGGATTCAGCAGAGATGAGTTTTTGATGATGGTCAAGCGGTTTCCTCAGTGCATTGGATATTCGACAGAGTATTTGGTGAAGGAGATGAATTGGCCACTTAAGGCTGTGGCTTCAATCCCTCAGGTACTTGGATACAGCCTAGAGAAGAGGACTGTCCCAAGGTGTAATGTAATCAAAGTTCTCATCTCAAAAGGATTGTTCGGAAGTGAACTCCCTCCAATATCATCTGTTTTGACAAGTCCTAGGGAGAAGTTTTTAAATTGTTATGTTAGGAAACATGATGACAAGCAGCTTGTTGCTGAGTTGTTGGTTATCTTCACTGGAGATAGTGTTTCACTCACCGATCAGAAGACACGCCTAGAACAATGAGCAATGTTAAGGATTGTTTTTTGCTTTCTTTTAGGTTTAGTAGATTCATTAGTGAATCTTGATGCTTGACTGTGGGAAGTAGAGAATAGCTTTTGTGTACGAGTGTCTGAAACCCATTTAGACTTTTGTAATCTTAAGTTGACCCGGATCCAACCCTTTTCCTTCTATTATGGTATCCGTTTGGGACAATAACGAATTGTAAATTTGAATCTCTTTGTTTTTGGAGTCCTTTTAACTCTTCAGCATCGCTAGTCTGGAAACAGCAACACAACTATTTACTACATGACATTTGTGGCTTATTGGTACAACTAGAATAAAGATCCAGAGGTTTTGGATTGTCTGAACCCGAATACTTTTAACTCTGAAGGATGATGAATCAGTCTTGTACGAAACAATCTTCACAATTAGGAATATATCTTATTTCACAAACTTTGAATCCCTTCTCTAATATATTATTTTCAGGTTTGTAGTCTAGAAACAACAATGCAGCCAAATAGCTGAAGGGGACATGTGAATCCAAATGATATATTTGCTAATTTTGTTTTTTTTAAATCATTGATTCTCTGAAATTCTAGCGACCTTGTTCGTCTGGGAGGTATGCGTGAACATTTCTACAGTTTCTTATTTTGTGTTTGATGAACTTATCGTCCTTTCTTGATATATCTTGAGTTTAATTTCTGTAATCACATATCTTGTTTCGACAATGTGTGTTTCTTTTTGTTAACTATGCTTTTGGATATGCAGTTATTGACTGCTGATGGACCTAACGGCTCTCTATGACTGATATTAGTATGACCTTTAGAGGAGTTTTGCAGGTTAGAGGAAGACACTCTTGTGTGCATACATTGGGAGTTTATTTCTCAGTCCTCCTGCAACACAACTTGAGTATGAGTCATATATATGCCTCTTTCAATCGTTCGAGTCATTGCTTGGATCAACTTGAGTAAGATGGAAACAACAGAAGGCAGCTCGTATGTGAACACTTGAGATGAGTTTTGAGTCTGCAATAAACTTATATCAAGTTGCATATCATATTGTATTTAATTGTAGGTTGTGTGGAAGCAAGTCGTAAATCAATGCACGAAATCTAGAAACCGCTTCAACCGATGAATTTTAACTTTAATTCGTTAACGTTTGATTTTATGTTTGATTGATAGTGTTTTCTTATTTTAATTGTTGGCAAAAATAATTTTTTTGAGTTTCTATAGATCTGCAGGAGTTACTCTTATTGGCTTTTTCCTTATAGCGATAAACAGACATTGATGGAGCTTACTTTGGGACAACATTTCCCCATCTGTTCCTGATGAGTTATGGGCATCTCAAGCCACCAAAGGCAACACAAAACTATGTTCAAAGAGTACTGTTCGGGTTCAAATTGCACAAACCGTGAAGGAAATTTGAAGACAAATAAAAACCCAAGAATATATCAAGATCGTGGCTTAGGTTTGGAAAAGAGAAAAGAAGAGACGTGTGTGGTAAACAGAAACAACAAAAAGCATTGTACGTAATCCTTTTAAAGTTGAAGAGAGCATTCATGTCTCTATTTGTCTTCTGGTACATACACATTATAAGAAGCAACTAGAAAGCATATGGTTACAAGGAAGAAAAACGAAAATCCTTTTGATGAGTTTGTTAAAACTTGAAACTGTATTTTCCTACGTTTTGTAATCTTTTCACTTTATCTCTATCTCAGATTTGTTCTCATGGTTGCAGAGCGTTTAATCAGAATATTACATATCAAAACACGTAATATATATAAAGAGGCAAGAATGTACGTATTGTTAACTCAAGTCTCTGGATATTCAAACATCGTCACGTAATTTACCATTGTGTTTATGACGAAGATTTTGGTTCCAATGGAGCTCATTGAGCTTATTTCTCAAGAAAAATCCTTTAGTAATCTCCTCACAACTCGTCTTTTCATGGATTGTCTGAAAAGTGTTTGTCCTCTTATAACTAAGGTATTACAAAAACCATGTATAAATAGCATAGACGTGAGTTATTAGTTTATTACAAACTTAATTATGGTTAGGTGGTCCTTATTGTAAAACGCTAACGAAACATTCATTGATGGAAATTTTTTGTGATGTTGCGACGTAAGAGGACGTGTGAAGGATGACGTATTGTTCGTGATGTATTATTATCTTTGAACAAACTAGCCAACTTTATATAATTAGATAAATGGTGTGCATAAAGCTTTGTTAACGCAATAAGCTACGTACAAGATGCTGAATCAAAAGCACAAACAAAGATCAATGATTTATTTGAAGAATGAGAATAAGCAATAATCAAGAAGCTAATAGATGATTATAAATAAGTCCGAGAGATGTTGGAAGAGTACAAGACGGAGGTGACAGAGAAGTGATGCAAGAGACCAGTAAAGATGTTGCATCGAGGGAATCCGGCCGGGATTGTAGATCCGAAAGAAACGGTAAAGAATCTACGTAATGAATTAGAGTTATGTGGAAGCGGTGGACGAAGATGCTTTTGACGGCGAAGAAGTGTGTGGTGGAGATAAAAGAGTTTTAAAATAGGGTCAGTTCGACTAAGAATCAACATTGATCATAGCAAAAAAGAAGACAATAGAGTTAGTTAGGCCAAATACAATATACTTTGAAAGACCAAAATACTATATGAAGTTTTAGTGTTAAGTTTGAGATTATTTTTGTTTAGATGAATATTATCATCAATATCTATATGTTAAAAATAATAGTTTAATAATTATCATTATGCGTATATGCTTTTTACTTGTCTAATTGTTTTTGTTAAAATTGTTTTTGTGAAAAAAAAAACATAAATGATATACGGTTGCATATTATATATCACTATATACCTACTTCAAAACAATCAATAAACATACCCTATCAGGAATAAGAAAAAGTATAAAATTTTTGGTTATTTATTGTGTTTAAATTACTTTTTGTGGTTTTTATCTACTATCGACTAATTACTATCCTCATGTTCAATATTTTTTATGTGTTGAAACCAATAATTTCTTTTCTTCCTTTTTTCTTCAAATTTTTTGGTAAATATTATTAGTAAAACAACAGTTTCACTAAAAATTTTGCAAATACCCCGCGCTAACCTACCAAACAAATAAGATGAAATTTGGATAATAATAAAATAAAAAGTAGAAAAAAAGGCTTAAAAAAACGTGAAAACATCTTTTTTAATTGATTTAAATTATTTTGATCTCTACTTTTCCTAAATAAACTATAATGTCTATTATTTTTCTTAAATAACTAATTATCTTTTTTCAATATTTCTGGCTAAACCAGACTTTAACCTTATAGAAAGTGTGTTTAGGGGTTATAATTTAGTTGTCTAGGTGACAAAAATGGGCTTGGGCATGAATGGGCTTTCTTATTTGGGTAATTTGAGTCGGTCGAATTCATTGTTGGATTATAAAAGATGAAACGAAAAGAGGATCGATTTCCAATCTGTGAACAGATCCGTGTGGTTTTTGTGATTTCTAGGTCATATCCGATGGGTACAAATTCAGAGAAAACTCTTGCTCTTTCAGATATTGTGACCTTTACGGTTGTTTATCTCAATTTTTAGTGTTTGAATTATATAAGTGTTTTCATATTTCCGCAGAACCGGAATCAGGCTTACGAATTCCTGCGCTCAACATGAATTTCAATTTTAATCCCTCAGACGTGGAGGACCTTGCCAAAGTAAATACCCTTTCTTTTTTTTTTTGTTTTAGGCTATGATAATTGAATTTCTGTGGAATAAGGTTGGATTTTGTTTTTTTTTAGAAACCAAAGTTCCAGAAATTGCTTAAGAAATTACTGGCTAAAGAGCCTGTTAATGACGACGAGTGGCAGAGATCTATTCCAGTTAAACTGTTAAAAGAACATATACCTGGGTTCGACCTAGAACAGTACATTGACGAAATTCGTGAGATGCGGAAGGAACCTGGATATATCAAAGGGAAGGAGACGTTTTTTAACCGCCTTCAGGTGGTAGCTCTTTCGGTCTTTCCTTTGTTATTATTTATCCTTTACATTCACTGATTGCTTTTTTATTTCCTTGTTCCAGGATCCACCAATGTCTGTTTGTCCCGTTGACGTGAACAATCCAGCAGCACCGGACGCTTAGAGCTTTTACCGAGCTCACTGATACAATTCTGGTTTGATGTTTTTTCTCATGGTTGTAATAAATATTACTAAAACTTTATATCTTCTCTGTAAAAGATATATAATCTTCCACCTTTCCATTCGTTGGGGTCTCCGTCACTTTTCTTACAACCATTCTCTATCACCATCATCCTTCGTTTTTGTTATCCTTCTCTCCAAAACCAAAAGAATTTTAAGTTATCAAAGCATATTTTTTTGCTTCAGCAACCAAGAACTCAAGCTCAACACTAGCAGCATTATGTTATGACTTGAAAAATCTCTGAAAAATTTGGATATGATGCATCTTAGCTACGTTTGTGTGTGTAATAAATCTGTCCCCTTAATGGTTTCGGTTAAATGAACTCAACTTCCAAGAGTTAACGCTAAAAAGGGCATGAAACGAAGGAGTTGGAAGTAAATGAAATACACAAGTTTGAGCACAAGACAAGGGAAGAGAGAGCGGCCGCACAGAGAAGAGAACCCAGATGAAAGCAACCCGCGAATCCAAAGAGAAGGATAAGTTCGTTGAAGTTCCCTTGTGGTGCAATACCAAGAGGAGTTCACTTTGGGAAGAAATCAGTACCGCAACTTCATCATTCTCTGAAGATCTATAGATCGGATTAGGAGCATACAGGGTTGTTTACAAATGCAATCTGCATCATACAATCGCCCTTGTCAAAGTTTTGCTTTTCGCTGAAAGTAATCTTTCCAAGCAATTCGATCGTACACAGCCCAAAAGTGTTTCTTTGTTTGAAAGTTTTCTTCTTTCTTTTTTCTGCTAGAGTCTTGGCCCAGAATCTTCCTGATTGCTTCGGCCTACCGATAACTGTTTATTTTTATTTTTTTGGCTCAACTTCAAACTTTGCATTAACCAAAATATTACATCTCCATATCTAGTTCGACAATGGATTTTAACCAATTTGGCATAATAGAGTACACCTTAGGATCATAATTCTCTAGAGAAGAAGATTCCCTCGCCACTCTATCTGCTGCTTTGTCCCCCTCTCTCGATGAAAACACGAACTTGACCTCGTTGAAGTTTGGAAGCAGAGATCTAATATCTTGTAGCTGAGGGTCTAAATGAGGCCACCCTTCTCCACTGTTAAGCAACTTAATTAGTTCTTGGGCATCCGATTCAAAGATGATGTTTTGGTAGTTTAACCTGCTCATGAATAAGACCGCCCATCTCAATGCTTCTGTCTCCATTTCCATCACTGTTCTGGTTCTCGGGAGAGCCCTTGCTCCGACCCATAACACTTTGCCCTGATTGTCCCTTAGGACCCAGCCAATCCCCCATCTGTTTCCCTCTTTCGACCATGCCCCATCAGTGTTGCACTTTACCCATCCTTGTGGAGGCTTTTTCCACTTTACTGCCTCCCTTGTCTCTCGGGCTGGGGGATTTGGTGGGCACCTTGGACCATTAGCTTCTGCTTCTCTTCTCTCCCATTCCTCCTGATCTTCCATGGCCTTGGTCAAAACCTCCTGGGCATTATATTCTTTCCCTTTAGAGATCAGTTCATTACGGTTCTTCCAGATTCTCCACAGAAGCCATGGCACGAGATGAGCTGCTTTTGCTAGATTTTGTCCCTCCTTTTCCAGGTTAAATACATCCAACGTTTCTCTTATTATATGCTTGAGCTTGTCCATTGCCATGGGGGTGACGCGGAGTCGATTTATTCAAACGAATGCGCCACTTTGCACAAAAGTCTTCGAACAGACGTGATGTAAACTGGTTGCCGTTGTCAGCGACGATTTCATATGGGAGTTCATGTCTGTAGATGATGTTTTTCCAGACGAATTGTCGGACATGCTCGGCTTCAACTTTGACGTATGACTCGGCCTCCACCCACTTAGTGAAATAGTCAGTCATAACCAGGATGTAAGGCTTTTGGCGAGACCGGGGTAGTGGGCCGACAATATCCATTGCCCATCTCATGATGGGGTATGGAGCTGTTGTGGATCTCGGATCCAACACCCAAAAATAATGGATTAAAAGTAAGAATAAATTTGGTATCTCAACAATAATTTGCTCTAAGAAAAAGTGTAAAGTATAAGTAATGTCGTCTGTTTTAGTATGTACCGATGAGTTGTTCTTAAACAGGTATGTGAGGAACCATGATGACAAGGAGCTGGTGCCTGAGTTGATGGCTATTTTCACCAGAGGTCGTGTATCATCATAGATCAGAAGGCTTGTCAAGGATTTTGCTTTCATTTTTGAATATCTGACACCTTGAATTTAGACTTCAAAAGCAATCCGACTTGGAACAGTAACTTTACATTGTAATTTTGAATCTATTTCCTGAAATATTACTAAGGTTTGCATCCTAGAAACAGAAATGAAGCGAAATCACAGACCTGTGTATCCAAACTATGTATTTACTGATTTTAATGTCCTAAATCATCTATCTTCTGAATGTTTGGTGACCTTGTTTGTCTGGACTCTTGAAGTTTAAGCCCAAGGCGTATAAGAGGCAGTCAAGATTATGTTTGTGGATCTCTTCTCTATTTACCAAAATCTTCATTTAAAAAAAAAAAACTGTGAATTGTACTGTAATTTGCATACTCATTTGGCTTGGAGACTTTATGAAAGAACTTGCTTTGGTAGGAAACACAGATGCACAAACCACTTTATCTTGGTATTTTCTTAGAGTATTTTAGACGCAATCTTCAGGATAAATTGCCGATTTTATCGTGTCTCCAATGGCGAGATAAGACCAAAAACGTCCATCTCTTATTACACTTTTAGCGATGTTCCTTGCTATCGAGTTCATCTTTGTTGAAACTAGCTTTAAATAAAAACTTAGAAACCCGAAAGAAGTCGGTGTATCCTATCAAAATATGCAAGATATCAAGGCCAATTCAGAGGATCCGTTACAGTTACTGCAGTCACAAAATCTGACCAAATCTCAAAAACCTTTAAAAGAAGGTCTCGTAAACATTGTAATGCCTATAGGATGCACCTTAACTCTGCAGTGTAGGCAGTGCAGCTATCCGATTAGTTGCTGGTAAAAGAACCGGGCCTTGCGGCCTAGTGGTAAAGAGGTCACATCTGTGACTTCCGCCACCAGGGTTACATAGGAGAATTGCCAGCTTCGTGGAATTAGTCCATACAATGTGATTCCATACAATCCATGATCACACATACATACATGTGCCATCAATCCAAGAAGAATTAACATTGCATTTAGGAATACCTATAGGGCTATAGGTGAAGAAAGACTATGCGGCTATACGCATTCTACAATGAAGAATCATAAACAAAATCAGGGTTTTGAGCCTAAACCCTAAAAATCATTTTTTTTTTTTGCCTCCTCCCAAATCCGTATTCTTGTTTAGTCAACCCACCCATCGATCTTTGGCGGCACTCGATATATGGGTCAGTGTAAGTTTTGAATTTTGAGATTGATCATCGTAGCCTGGGCAATCCATTTTCACGAACTGAATCAGATAGATCGCTTCTGAGCTTTGTCCCGTCATGTATACTCTGATACTCCATGGAAAAAGGTTGGTCCAGTTGCAGAAATGGCGTCATTTGAGAGTTTCAGTGAACCTTCTCGAAAAGCCATCTCCTTTTCCCAATTCCTTCTCCTATGCTACTGCTACAGATGCGAGCCTTAGAGCTGGTCGAAAAAGGTTGAATTTTTCTGTCTCTTACCTCGTTGCTTCATTGGGTTTAACTAAAGAAGTCGCAGAATCGATCTCAAGGAAAGTCTGTTTGGTTGACAAGGGCAATCCTGATTCTGTTCTGAGTCTTTTGAGAAGTTATGCGTTCACTGATTCTCAGATCTCCACCATCGTTACGGATTATCCACAATTGCTAATAGCTGATGCTGAGAAATCACTTGCTCCCAAGCTTCAGTTTCTGCTGTCCAGAGGAGCTTCAAGCTCTGAGCTCGCTGTGATTGTATCTACAGTTCCTAAAATTTTGGGAAAGAAAGGGGACAAAACTATCAGCATATACTATGATATCGTCAAAGAGATTATAGAAGCGGATAAGAGTTCCAAGTTCGAAAAATTATGTCATTCTTTTCCACAGGGTAGTAATCTGGAGAACAAGATCAGAAATGTTTCGGTTCTGAGAGAGTTAGGTGTGCCTCAGAGGGTTTTATTCTCCTTGCTCATATCTGATCACCAACCTGTCTGTGGAAAAGAAAATTTTGAAGAATCACTCAAGAAAGTTGTTGAGATGGGTTTTGATCCGACCACCTCAAAGTTTGTCGAAGCTCTAAACGTTGTTTATAGACTGAGCGACGAAACAATAGAAGAAAAAGTTAGTGTCTGTAAAGGGTTAGGTTTTTCTGTTGGAGATGTATGGGAAATGTTCAAGAAGTGGCCTTGCTTTCTGAATAACTCGGAGAAGAAGATAAGTCAAACATTTGAAACCCTGAAGAAGTGTGGACTACCCGAAGACGAGGTCCTCTCACTGTTGAAGAAGTTTCCACAATGCATTAACGCTTCAGAGCAGAAGATTTTGAACACCATTGAAACATTTCAAGACCTAGGATTTAGCAGAGATGAGTTTGCAATGATAGCCATGCGCTTTCCTCCATGCCTTATTTTATCTGCAGCGACGGTGAAGAAGAAGACTGAGTTTGTGGTAAAGAAGATGAATTGGCCACTAAAGGCTGTGGTTTCAACCCCTGCGGTACTTGGATACAGCCTCGAGAAGAGGACTGTACCCAGGTGTAATGTAATTAAAGCTCTCATGTCAAAACGATTGCCCGGAAGTGAACTGCCTCCAATGTCGTCTGTTTTGGTATGTACCAATGAAGAATTCTTAAACAGGTATGTGAGGAACCATGAAGACAAGGAGCTGGTGCCTGAGTTGATGGCTATTTTCACCAGAGGTCATGTATCATCATAGATCTCAGAAGGCTTGTCAAGGATTTGCTTTTATTTTTGAATATCTGACACCTTTAATTAAGACTTCAAAAGCCATCCGACTTGGAACAGTAACTTTAGATGTAATTTTGAATCTATTTCCTGACATATTACTAAGTTTTGCATCCTAGAAACAGCAATGCAGCGAAATCACAGACTTGTGAATCCAAACTATGTATTTGCTAATTTTATTGTTTCATTTATCTTTGGAATCTTTGGTGACCTTGTCCGTCTAAACTCTTGAAGTTTAAACTCAAGACGTATAAGAGACAGTCAAGGTTCTGTTTCTGGATCTGTGCTCTTTTACCAAAGTCTTCATTTTTTAAAAACCCTGTGAATTGTACTGTAATTTGGATCATGTATTATCTGATTTCAGTATCATGTATTGGATCATGGTTTTTGGAACTGCAGATATGGATTGGAATGATGCAGTGCAGCTCCTTAGCTCTTGGATTGGTCATGTAAGCCTTTTTCGTTTCTTTATTAGTGTTTGATCTTTGGTCTTCCCTGAGAGTCTTTAATTTCACTAAATTCCTTATCGTTTTTGGATTCGAGCCAAAATCCTTTTAGGATACTTCAAAACCTTGCTATGTAGAGATTCTTTTCCAAGTGATTTGCTTCGTCTATGTCACAAGCAGGGGCGGATCCACGTTGTAATGAGGTAAGGCACGTGCCTTATACTCATTGTTAAATATGATTTAAATGATTGCTTTTGTTAAGATCTCTCAGCTCATTTGGATGGGAGTGCCCCATATAATACCTTAGGAGAATGGTTCGATGCTCCTTTGCTACAATTTTTTTCAGTTTTGTTTTTTTTTTTTCTAAACATTTTGATATTTTCTTTCTTTGTGCTCCATACAACTTTTTCCCCTGGATCCGCCACTGGTCACAAGTTCTTGGATCATACGATTCATCTGATTTGTGGAATATTCGTTTTTGTCAGATTGGTAATGTTGGTCTTACTTGATTGGATATCACTTTGAAAGCTATCTATTGTCATTAGCACTCATAAATCATTGTCACGTAAAATCCGGAATCTAGCTATAATAGTGGAAACCGAAGAAGCCTGAGACCTTTAAAGGTTGTTGAGCTTCACTAAGTTTTTCTGCACACTGAAGTTTATTTCCCTAGGATTATTGAAGAAACCCAATGATATGATCCTAGAAATCGTGTAGGTGCAATGTTATTAGAGGTATGAAGTTGTAGTATCTTTCTTTTTTTCGCCTTTCAGTTTCTTTGTATACTTATTTGGCTTGGAAGACTTTTATGTTGCTTTGGTAGGAAAGACAGATGCACAAACCTCTCTTTCTTGGTAGTTTCTTGGGGTATTTTAGATGCAATCTTCAGCATGAACTGCTGATTTTATCATGTTCCAATTGCATAGAAGTATCTGCGTAGGAACGTCTCCCGATATGTCATGAGCTTTAGATTGTAACTTGCCTTAACGTGTGTGTTCCTCTCTCTCTCTTTTCGATAGGAAGTTGGTGAAAAGGATTCTTCATTTCACCCAAAAGTGTATTACTTTAGAGTTTCTTTCATCTTCTGACAACGAGGAAACCGTTGGGAAAGCAGCAAAACATATTTCTTCAGAAATACTTGAAATCCAAAAATCTCAGGACGAGAAGGGAGAAATAACATTTTTACAGAGGATCACTTGACTGAAGCATTAACAGCTGTTGGTTTGCAATAAATTCTCAGATGGGATTATTCTAATAGGATTGATTATGAATCTCTGATAGGAACTCAGAGAGGAGGTGAAGGCAGACATGAACTATGGTAAGTTGATAGGGTTCCCTTGTAAAAAAGGGCAATCTACATGTTTACAATGGTACGCCAAAACTATGGTAAGTTCTTTTCATCTTTGAAGAATTCAGAATCTAATCTCATACATTTTTCCACCTTTAACTTGGATTTATCTAACCCATTTACCAATTTAGTATCTTTTCTATTCAAGGAAGATGCCAAAATTCAACTGTTTGTGTGTTCTTGACCGGAACTTACTTACTCGAGGGCAAATCACTTGGCTCAGAACAAAGGTTATTTATTTATTTGTGATTCCCATATCTTTTTCCAGTGACGATATGCATTGGAGAGAGCTTAATTTAAACAGAGCTAAACATTAGCTTATAAGTAGAAGGGAAGAGGAGATGATACAGTTAGTTACTGAAACTAACCACGACCACGCCCTCCAACATTCGTCCACTGCATCTCTTGGCATTTTTGAGATTTTTTTTACTAGTCTCTCCCTCAGAATTCACTGAGCAGATGCCTCCATCTCTTGAGTGGTGAGTCCCTCAACCCTTGTAGTTGGTGAGACTTTTAACTCCAGTGGTGAAAAGCGGTAGGTGGCTTGAATTGATGTGTCCTCTATATTCGCAGCAAAACTTGTTTCCGGAGCAAAAGCAAAATGAGAGGACCTTTCTAAAACAGAGGTTGTTACCTCATTTGTGACCTCGACAGAGGTAGATTCTGTTATTGTGGCAATGTGTGAAGCCTCACGTACGGCTACAAGTTCTAAGTCTTGAGACTGGCTAAATTCAATGGCTAGGCTGAAGCTTCTTCAGCTTCAGAGAGAAGGGTTTGGATTCCTTCATAAACTATGGCATCTGAAGCACTAGAGACGGAAACGTGAGACATGAATATCAGCCTCTGTGATTGAGGTAGTAACAGTGGTCTCTGAGTTAGTGTCAACAATCAGAAAAAAGTTCAGTTGCAGCCTCTGCATTTGGGACAGATACAGAGTCTAAGACAGGACCATCCTTTAATACTGAGGCAGGCGTAGAGACAACAAACATATGAACTCCAGCTGGCATGTTCCCAAGTACTGTTGCAGAAGCTTGAACAGGGGCTCTTGTTGCAAGCAACAAAATTCTTTGTCCTAATTGGCCACATCTACTACATTTGGTTGGAACCCAAGGAGTATTCCACATCAACCATAGAGATGTGCGTCTTTTTATCATAAGCTGCAATCCTCTGAGGAAAGGACTTATTGAGCTCCACTTCAACCATTATATTAGCTTCACCCATGAACATAGGATCAAGCCTCAGCTTATTGGAGAGCATTGGAGCACCTAAACCTGAGGCTATGTGACTGATTCCTGCAGTAGAATAAAGGATGTGGGGGATATTTTTTAGGGTAACCAAGGTTTAAAAACATTGAAATTGTAGTAACAGAATCTGTATTCATTTTTATTTATTGATATCGATTTTTATTTCTGTAGTTAAGGAAATGTAGCCTAAAGTTTACTACTGAATATAATACGACGTGATTCCATAAACCCTAAACCCCATTTTGCGCCTAAACCCTAAACCCCCATTTTGGATTTCGTAAGTAAATGAAGAGAGAAGCTGATTCTTGAATAGTCGACGACCATTGTTATGTCTTCTCTGATACTCCACCATGGAAGGTCTCTTAAGTTACTACACAAGTGCCCTAATTTGAGAGTCTCACCGCAAAACCCATTTTCTTTTTCCAGTTCCTTCTCTTCTACTAGAGCTAAAGATGGTCAAAAAGGTCAGATTTTCACTATCTCTTACCTCATTGATTCATTGGGTTTAACCGCAAACCTCGCTGAATCGATCTCAAGAAAAGTAAGCTTCGAGGAGAGGAGAAATCCTGACTCTGTTCTGAATCTTTTTAGAAGTTATGGTTTCACAGATCCTCAGATCGCAAGCATCATTACTGATTATCCACGATTGCTTATAGTAGATGCTAAGAAATCTCTTGGTCACAAGCTTCAAGTTTTGCAGTCTAGAGGAGTTTCAAGCTCTGAGCTCACTGAGACTGTTTCTAAAGTTCCTAAAATCTTGGCAATGAAAGGGGACAAAACTATAAGCAGATACTATGATTTCGTCAGAGAGATTATCGAAGCGGGTAAGAGTTCTAAGTTCGAAAAGTTATGTCAATCTATGCCACAGGGTATGCAAGAGAATAAAATCCGAAATTTATCTGTTTTGAGAGAACTTGGCGTGCCTCAGAGGTTATTATTCCCTTTGCTCGTCTCTGATCGTAAACTTGTATGTGGAAAAGAAAAATTTGAAGAATCTCTTAAGAAGGTTGTTGAGATGGGTTTTGAACCGACAACCTCAAAGTTTGTCAACGCTCTACGTGTTGTTCAAAGAATCAGCGAGAAAGAAATAGAAGAAAAGGTCAGTTTCTATAAAAGGTTAGGCTTTGATGTGGGAGATGTATCTGAAATGTTCAAGAAGTATCCAGTCTCTATGAGATTATCCGAAAAGAAGATAACTCAGAAGTTTGAAACCTTGAAGAAGTGTGGACTACTCGAAGACGAGATCCTCTCAGTGTTTCCGCAATGCATTGGTGCTTCGGAGCAGAAGATAGCAAAATCCATTGAAACATTTAAAGACCTCGGATTCAGCAAAAATGAGTTTGCGTTTATGGTCAAGCACTTTCCTATGTGTCTTAACATATCCGCAGAGACGGTGAAGAAGAAGACGAAGTTTCTGGTGAAGAAGAAGAATAAGTTTATGGTGAAGAAAATGAAATGGCCACTAAATTCTGTGGCTTTTTACCCGCAAGTACTTGGACTAAGCATGGAGAAGAGGATTGTACCAAGATGTAACGTTATGAAAGCACTCATGTCGAAAGGATTGCTTGGAAATAGAGAAAGCAAATTACCTTTAAAGGAAGCTGTCTTGTTATGTACCGATGAAGAGTTCTTAAGAATGTATGTGAGGAACCATGATGACAAGGAGCTTGTGGCTGAACTAATGGCTATCTTCAACGGAGATCGAGTTTTATAGATCAGAAGGCTTCTCAAGTATTTTGCTTTTATTTATGAATCTCTTTTCCGATATACTACCTTGAGGTTTGAAGCCTATCAACAGCAATGCAGCCAAAGAACTCATGTGTTTATATATTTGCTAGTCTAATGGATTTGAATGATGATATACTCATATGTTGGTGGATTAGTCATGTAAGCTTTTTATCATTCCTTAATTAGTGTTTGATCTTTGGTTTCTTGAGAATCTTTGTTTAATTAGAGCCAAAAATCTCTTAGGCCTTGGTAGAAAAAGATTGCGTTTCCAAGTGATTGGCTTAGTCTTTGTCACACTTCTATGTCGTTCTTGTGCGCTTATGATTTCATCATTCCCGTAGAATATTTTGACTGCCTCTTTCCATTCCCCTGCACCAACTAATCTTCACATGGATCTTGACAATTCAATAACTCCGAAAGTACTCACTAGTCACTAGTTCCAAAGTGTGGTTGTAACTGAATTAACCTGCCAAAAGAGTAGCGTCCAAGACTGTGTGTGGTCTGCAAAATCTTCAAGAAAGCTGAAGGCATGGGAGCTCTTATAGCAGCTCGTATGATTATTAATAATGCTTTCGAGACTCTTGCCTTTGTCTTAAGTTGCCACAACTTCTGTGGTATAGGCCAAAGAAAAGGTAATGTCAACTGTTAAGTTTTGCTTTCCAGCTTCCATGAGATGTAAAGAGTAGTCCAATTTATTGAAAGAGCCCTTACTCACTTTAATTCTCTTTAAACTCTCTCTAATGACTTAAGAATCTTCACAGACTAATATTATGAAAGTTCAATTCTCAAAACTCTTTTTTTTTGTCTGAATATAATACGAATGTGGAATACATGGTAAAATACGATTTTGGTATACATCACCGACAAGAGTCGAAACTTTTTCAGAAACTAAACATATAGAAAACACGAAGACAAGAAGCTCATGGCCGAGTTGATGGCTATCTTCACTGGAGGTCGTGTTTCATATAGCAGGAGGCTTCTCAAGGATTTTGCTATTACTCATGAAAACCTGAAACCTCAATTTTAAACTTTTGTAATCTCAATATGATCCGGTTTGTTTTCTTCTATATGTAATCCATCTTAGAAAATAACTTAAAACCATTTGAGGCTAATTATGAGTAAATGCATATAAGAAACGATGTCGTTTTGTTGTAGAGTTTCAATTTTTCTCCACCAAGATTAGAGAACTATACTTTTATATATCAGATCAAGATGACTCAGTTTTAAGGTTTAAGACTTGATATTTTTGTCATTTTTAGTAGTAGTGATTAGTTTAACGATAATGATAATAATTTAATAATGAAGATTAATAAAGAAGCAGAAAATTTTATTCTGTTGCATAATTTGCATTTGGTCACGACAAAGCGATTCTTTTCTCACTTTTCTTTATCTTTGTTTTACTTCGTATCGTACCTTGTGTCCTATTTAAAATTAAATTTATGATTGGTCAGTAGAAGTAGTATGCGTCGATTTTGTAATCAATAAACTTTAAATACTTATAGTTATGCAATGAATTTGACGTTAAATCCAGTCCGTAAATATTAATGTATACACAAAATTGGTTGTAACAAAATTTTAAACCGGCGAAAAATTAATTGCATAAAGTACTCAAATCTCATAAAGAAAATTTAAGAACTATCAAATCTTTCAACTGTCGAAATAGTCGTATTAAACATATGTATATGTATAAACATTATCAATCAAATAAATAATGATATAGTTTCGACAACCATGATAGAAACTAATAATTATTTATTTTATTTCATCATTACTAGTCAACCATGAGTCCATGAGTGACTAAAAACTGTAACATCTCAAATAATTTTGTTAAGAGAGTAATTATTAAAATTCCTTCTCATCCATCAAATATTTTTTCCACCTATCATCATATACAGTAATGTTTTTCTTTTTAACTTGCTACAATACAAAAAAAACACCTAAAGTCCAACAAAATAAAAATAAATTCAAAACAATAGTGCAAAAGACAAAAAGGCCAAATAATAAAACAAAGAAAAAAGAAGAAATTAAAAGAAAAGAGTACTGACAAAAAGCCCAGAAATATCCTTATTACGACTCTCTTCTCTCACGCCTCCCCAAATAAAGAGAGTTCTCTATTTTAAAATAATTAAACAAAAAAATAAATAAATAAAACAAATAATAATAAATGAATAAAATAAAAAGGAATTAAATTCCTCACCACATCTTCGATTTCTGTAACATCCCATTTCCAAAAACATTCCGTTTCAGCTTCAACGAAGAAGACGAAGTAGTAGAAGAAGAAGAAGAATCACAATCACTCTTATTGAGGAAGTTAGATTCTCAATCTCACTGTTTAATCTCGCCGGAAAAATTATGGCTCGGCCTTCGTCGGCGTCTGCAACGACAGCAATCAGACCGGAAGATTATTCTCACAGTCCAGTTCATTACGCCGTCGTTTTGGGAGATCACGGTGCACTGACTCGTCTTCTCTCTTCCTTGCCGAAGTTAGGAGATCCAGAACAGATCCGAACAGAATCTGACTCACTGAGTCAAGAACGAGTTGCGGATCAGATCTCCGCCGTGCTTGACCGTCGCGACGTTCCTTCGCGCGAAACGCCTCTCCATTTGGCGGTTAGACTTGATGATTTGTTCGCGGCGAGAGCGATTTCGTCAGCCGGAGGTGATATTTCGCTTCAGAACGCTTCTGGATGGAATCCGTTACAGGAAGCGTTTTGTCGCCGGAATTCTGAGGTTATGAAAGTGCTTTTACGGCATCACCACCGTTTAGCTTGGTGTAAATGGCGGCGGAGATTACCTCGTTTAATCGCTGTTCTTCGTCGTATGAGAGATTTTTACATGGAGATCTCTTTCCACTTCGAGAGCTCTGTGATTCCGTTCGTCGGGAAAATCGCTCCCTCTGATACTTACAAGATCTGGAAACGCGACGGTAACCTCCGTGCTGATACTACTTTAGCTGGATTTGATGGTTTGAAAATTCAAAGAGCAGATCAAAGCTTTTTGTTCCTTGGTGATGGTGACGAATCTCTAGATATTGCTCCTGGATCTTTGCTTGTACTGAATCGAGACGATCGGAAAATTCTCGACGCTTTTGAAAGTGCCGGAGCTCCGATTAGTGACTCCGATATCGCCGGATTCTGTTCTCAGTCTAGCTTGTATCGTCCGGGAATGGATGTTACTAAAGCAGAGCTCGTCGGACGAACAAATTGGCGACGGCAAGAGAAGATGGAGAACGTCGGAGAATGGAAAGCTAGGGTTTATGAAATCCAGAAAGTGACATTTAGCTTCAGATCTCGGAAAATTGTTACCGGAGATGGAAGCGAACAAGTCTTACCGTTGGAGTTAGACGAAGACGATGAAGGATTCTTAGTAGCTGAGAATCCGAGTTTTTTAGCTCCTCCGCCACGGTCACAGAGACGACACAGTAGCTTCGTTAAAGAAGATAGAGATTGGATCTCCGTTGGGAGAAAAAGCGTCGACGTTTATCCATCCGCCGCACCACCACCGCCGCAGCAATCTCAATCACCGAGAAGATCAGTGTCTCAATTTCAACCACCGAGAAGATCAGTAGCTCAATACCAGCCACCGAGAAGATCAGTGGCTGTACCTTCAACGGTGTCTCCGGTGAATCCTCCGCCGTCTCCTCATATTAAAGAGAAGGAATTCGTTAAGAGCTTGCATCCGTCAGTGTGGTTAACGGAACAGTTTCCGTTAAAAACGGAGGAGCTGCTTCCGTTACTTGATATTTTAGCTAATAAAGTCAAAGCCGTCGCCAGAATGCGTGATCTTCTCACCACCAAGTTCCCGCCGGGAACTTTTCCAGTCAAGGTAACAAAAGTGGCAATCTCGTAAATATCTTTAATTTCTCTATTTACATATTTTTAAAAGGACTTTTTGGAAACTATCATATCTTATACCAAAATTAGCAAATTAATCTATAGTTTAAAAGAAAATTAAATAAATAGTTTTAAAAAATAAACCTTAATCCTAAATCTTAAACCCACAAAATTAAACCTTAATCCAATCATTTTAAACAACCAAAATAAATAAATTCTAAATCTTAAAAGTTAAAATCTAGACTCAAAAATAGTGTATTTTCTTCATTTTAAAAGAGTTAGCCTATTTTAATTTAGATTTTGTTAGCATTATATTTTTAATTGTCCCAAATTGTTATTAAAACCATTAAATCGCTTTTTACGTTTGTTACTCTTTTTGGGCTCTTCCTAAGCTTAAAACATTACGACCGTTATACCTAATGGGTCAAACCAACTTACGCGTCAAGTTCTCATTGGTTAGCCTCGCCAATGGAAACGCTGACGTGACAAGATCACGGATGGGTCACGGAAGAACCAAAGCTTTAGCTTTTTTGGGGACCCATGATTTTTTTGCCTCTATAGATCTCTAATTTTGGGAAATTGTGCTTTTTAAAAACCCAAGTCAAAATCTTTAGATGATTATGAAATTTCTTGCTTTCTTTATGCTAAACAAAATCTTTGTGTGGGATCCAGCTGTCTATTCCGGTGGTCCCTACGGTCAAAGTAGTCATCACATTCACCAAGTTCGTCGAGCTTCCCCCGGCGGAGACATTCTACACGCCGCTCTCAAGCCCAAGATTCCTCTACTCTGCCGCTGCCGAAGAAGACCAATCCGATGGCGAAAAACCTGATGCTCGTAATTCGATTTCACGGCCATCTACGTGGCTGCGACTAGCCACCGGAAAAGGCTCACATCGACGGATAGAGGAGGAGGAGCAACAAACGCCGGACCCATTTGCTATACCAATTGGGTATAAATGGACAAGCATGAGTAGTAATAATAATAAGTCAGGTAATAATAGTAAAATGAAGAAATCGAAGTCTACTAAGAGATCTAAGTAGTATCCTCTTTGAGGAATTAAAGATATAAATCTAGTTTTTTTTTTAGTGTAGATAATCTGATATTAGTAATATACAGAGAAACTATTGATGAAACTGGTTGTAGTATTTTTTTACTATACATTTTATTTTTTTCATATGATTAAATGCTGTCATTTTTTCACTCTTTTTTCGTCGGTCATGGTCTAAAAGAGTTCAATAATAAAAGCTTCCAAATAGACGCACCAACTAAAGTAAGAATAAAATTGAACAAAAAGAAAAATAACTATTTGTTCACGCTTTCCATTATTTTATGGACCAATATTGGTGGTTGTATTAACTTTTCCAGATACAAAAATACTTTTTCTTATAGCCATTTGTATTATTATTCATTTTTTTTTTGTTGTTTCAATATTCCTTAGTATTCTGTACTAAACTTTGAACTAATGACTTTTGATAAAGCAATCACTGAGTGTTCTGCTTTAGGTTACATAAGACACATTTTAGACGTTTTGGATTACATTCCATTCCAAGCTGGCTTTGTATAATCCGATTTTAAATAACTTGAAAAAGCTACAACACCATTACATAATGAGAGTCCGTAGAGACTTGAAGACTTGAAGTTGAAGCTAATAATATAGGACTTTTCATGGGATTTATGTGAAAATAAACTCCCTTTTTTGACTAATAATCTAAAGAACATAAGTTTGATATGTCACATGGAAAGGGACATATTTAGATGGCTTAAATCACGACCTATATATATCATATGCTTTATACCTAAATATTCCAAAACAATGTTTGCTTTGCAAGTCGGAAACGAACAAACTTGAGTTAATAAAGTGCATTCAAAGACAACCCAAAAAGAATAAAAATATATATATCTTACACATTAACAAATCTAAAGATTTGAACCCTGATAGGAAAAAAATGACAATATAAACTATAATATTTTACACTTTTATCTATTAAAGAAAAGAACAACACATCTACTATTTGTCTCCATTCTCCGCGATAGCACTCATTTTGCTAAATCAAAATCTGTCTTTCTTCCCCAAAGAAGACCTCTCAACACATTAAAGGTAATCTTTTTTCTCTCTTCTAGTTTCTTAGTTATGAACATTATTCATTTTTGATCCAGTACCCATTTAAAAACTAATTGAAAAAAACGAGTAATTTGTATCTCTAGATGTTTATATTATGTTTCCTTGATTGATTGATATGGAACTTCGATTTTCGGCTATTTAGTTTGCGAAAAGATATCGCGAAATGGCAAGTGAAGCACCGAGTTGGGCAGATCAATGGGGAACCGGAGGGATCGGCGAGATGCCGGAGGAAGAGAACACCAAAAGCAAGAAAGATGCCAGCGGTAAGAATTCTGGCCAAAACAAATCGGCCAAGATTGTTGATTTCATAAGTCTCAAGTGGATGAAGAATCTTGTGCAGAAGAAGAAAAAAGACTCTGATTCTTGAAAAAGAATAGAAAAAAATATCATTGTATCCATATTTCTTTTCGATGTTTTGAAAGAAATTGTTTCATCCTAAGATCTCAATTCATCATTTTATTTATTTATATATATTTGTTTTGAGTTTCACATGAGTTTTAATGGGTTTTGGTGCATCCCACGATCGGAAGTTTTTGTTTTATATGACATGGCTCAAATCTTCGCTTACTCTTGCAAATAATAATTTATATTTTAGTAACATGTAGGCTACTAGGCCTCGGTTATAATTTGTTGTTTCTTTTCTCACAAATTTGCTAACTTTTTTTAAAAAAATGTATGCACCAGAATCCAGATAGTCAAATTCAACCTTAGTATTTGCAAAAACACGAATGACATTGTAAAATAATCTAATTCATTTTAAATAACACCAAATATACACTACTTATTTACAGTTTTTGCCACATTTTCTGCCAATTTTGGTTGAAATATAGCCTTTTTACCACATATATCTCAACTATTCCTTCCACAAATACCCAAACTAACATATTATGATCAAAATGGTAGAAGAGAGCATCAATAGATGACACAAGTTGTGTGTCCAAATGTAAAAACCCAAACTATTGAACACAAATTGAAAGCAACATTTACATTAATTAGTCCAAAGCAGTAAAAATAACATTTGCATATTCATAGTCATACATAAAGGAGCATATAATATACAGATAAGCACAAAAGCATTGGAAGGCACATTTAAACCAAACCAAAGGTGTTCTCTCCACTGTAAGTCATGTAGAGAAACCCATCTTCGTCTTTGTTCTCATCATAGATTGCGGACATCATTGCAGCTGCAAAAAATCATCAGCAAAGAGCATTCATCATTGTTTCGAGTTTGCAGAGAAGTGTATGCGTAAATTACCAAGTTAGCAGCGGATTTTCATGAAAGCAAAACTATCATAAACCAGCTATTATGCTAAGGGTTTGTGTTTTACCGGTTGGAGGCAATGTGTTCTTCACGAAAACGAAGATCGCCTTTTCGGCACTCAGCTTGATTCTTTTACGGACAACATACACAAATTGCCCCACAGTTAGATCGGCCGGAACAAGGTACCTGAATCCAACAACCAAAGAGTCACAGATCAACACATTTTCCCTGATATAAGACTCTTGTAGTCTTCAATTAAGATCAATCCCATACAACACAAATATAAAGTTCTTCAAGAAAATGTTCAAAGCAAGGCACTCATAAGTAAACAAAAGAAGCGTAGAACTCATAAGTTGTCAACAAGAAAGAAGAGCAGAAAAAGAATGTCATTAGTACTCACTTTTTCTTATCGATATTCGGAACATCACTTCTTTCAGCTCTCTCTACAATCACCTGCAACATATACTTGCTATTGTTAAAGCTACATAGAAGAACATATACAGAGAAATACAAACAAACAAATGTTAAAAAAAACATTACTGGAATTCTGTCTGGATACTTGTCCCTGATGCGAGAAGATTCAATTTGTCTCCTCTCTGCCATTACCAAACCCCAAAGAATGGTGACAGAACATCAGTGTTTGATCAATCAATCATAGGAAACATTAGAGATTTGATCCATCGTAATCAAAGTCTCTAACAATGATCATACAATCAAAGATCTATAATTTCTAGTAACCCACTAACAAAACCCAGAAAGTTTTAGTTTTTATGCATGATTTGATGAAGAATCAAGAAGGAGACGAATAAACTTACCCAGTGGGTGTTCCAACTTGAAAGAGCTATTAGCCATGGAGATTAAGAATCGAATTTCTGAAATCAAAACACCAAAATCAATCAACACAAAAATATGAAATCTGATATTCAATTAGCGATCTCGCGACTAATCGGAAAGGAAAACAAAAACCCAGAAACTACAAAATCAGAGAGAGAGCAACATACCAAAGATTAGGGCTTCTCGTTTTCCCCAGATTTGTACCGATGAAGATGATAATCAAATGGCAGAAACTAGAAACCGATCAAATTTTCGATTTTGATGGGTTTCGTGTAGAAAACAGAATTAGGGTTTCAATCTCTGCACGAAACTGAGATAACTTAGCGTCATTGCTTTCTTTTGTTGCCATTTGTTCTGCTGCAGAACCGGAAATTCGTACCGGATTTATGGTTTAGGATAACATTCGGTTCTCATTGATTTCGTGACTCAATTAATTTTATTTGGTTTTTTGCAAACGCCACCATTTATTGTTTTACCTCAGAAAAAGGAAGAAAATGTACAACAAAATTATTAAGAGTTTTATACGGTTGCAGACAATGTGAAAACTAAAATTTTATCTTTTAAGGGCTGATGCAATTTTTTTTTTTTTTTAGTAATTTAGAAATTTTACTAGGTAAAATTAAAAATTTAAGAGGGATAGTATGTATTTAAATAAAAAAATGGAAGGACCAAATTAGTTTCGAAATTCAAATAGATGTTGGGAGTAGCAGAGCCCACCAACATGCCATTGTCTCTCTTACAAACCCTCATAAATACTGATTTTGAAAGCTCATGGCATTCCTTTGTTCTTTTATTTAATTTTGTTCTACAAATCTCTCTACATGTACATATACTACATGCACTATTCATATACCCATGTGTATATTCTTGGAGATAAAAGTTACCTAGCTAATTGAGTAATACAGTAAATTTTAGGTTCTTAGGAGAAAACATTATCTGCCTTTTTTCGTTAGTGTAGCTCCGTCTCAGTTTATCTCCGGCTATCGGTGAAAGGACTTTCTCCTTACTTTATCGTCGATCTAAAGTTTAACAATTTTTCTTTATTGTTCCTTGTCAAGGTTTCATTTAAAAAAATTTTTAGATCGATTTTCTATATATACATCTCCTTCTATAAGTTTCATCGCTTTAGGGGGCACGGGGTCATAAGCCTAGATTCGCCACTGCTTAAAATTTAGTTGATGCGATGAAACTTGAACAGTTTATGCTTCCATGTTGTTTACTTTTTTTTTTTTTGGTATAAGACCATATTTATAGGATTTGATTAATGTAAAACCTAAACTTTCATTCTAATCCTTAAAAAAAAAAATCTTCTTGGATATCTTTATGCAATATACGATATAAATGCTGTTTTTTCTTATTAAAACCAACTGTCTACTTTATCGACTTCTATGTTAAAGTTTTAGAGTTGAAATAGTAAATCAAATATGGATGCATCAAACAGATTTAAAAACAATGCTTAGACCAAGCTTACGCACAAACTTCATGTAATTGTTCCGATTTCCCGTGGAGTCGTTACACATGTTTTAGGGAAGGAGAGATCAAGAGTATACATGCAAGATGCAAGATGCAAGATGCAAGATGCAACATGTAATAATATTATTTACAAATATTGCCTCACAGGTTTCATGAGGATGGAATCCAATTACAAATAAATTTTAAAAAATGAAAATTAAAATCGCAGAAGTGTAGTATTTCTTAACACGTCCGCACGTTATCACATAACAAAATTTGTGACGTACGTATTTTTTTGTAAGAAGTATGCAATTAATTCTACATCGCCATTTCTACTACGAATTTGCAGTATATATGTGATCACATATCCATCACCAAGTAGTAAATTTTTAATGGCTTATAAGCACTATGATATTTTTGTCGTATAATTAGTTTTTTTTTTTCTTTAAAGAGAAACGTCTATATAATGGTTTAGCTGTTTCTTATGGACTTTAATAAATCAGAACTAGCAAGCAATCATCATGAATTCTTAGAAGTGGTTCAATATTAAAAAAAAAAAAATTTTGTAACGGCAGACCTGGCTATTTGGTTTGATATTTATTAGTATAACATATCTATATATTTATTAAAATGTAACGAAAAGTATTTCACTATTTCTTAAAAAACATATTTTTTTTTTCAAATTTAATACAACCAACTTCCTTTTTGTTGTGGGGGTTGTTGGCCTAATTCAATGCTTGTTTTTCTCTGTTATTTCTTCTTCACCCTCTTTGTATTTATATCTCCTTCACTCTGCAAACCCAAGAAAAAATATTGATTTAGCTCATGTTGTCTCTTTCTTATCTTCATATCTGCCAAAAAAAAAAAAAAACACTGTGATTTCTAAACTGGTTTAACGGTAAGTACCTGTCTCTCGTAACATACCTATCAATTTGTTCCAATCATTTACTTGCTTTGATTTCTTTTTCGATCTCTTTTCTTTTGTTTTCTTTCTTTTTATGTGGGTGAGTTTGGGATAATAAGCAACTGAAGAGTCGATGAGCGCATTATCGGACATCGAATACGAGATATTGGTGCGGTTCAATCAGAAAACTGTACTCTTTTGTTTTAAAGATCGGTTTGTTTGATTGAGCCGTGCCAATATCACGTGTTTAAATAGTTTAAAGATTATATGTTACTAATTAATTGATGTGATCAATCAAGGTATGAATCTATATCGATTCTCTTGATTTGTTTTCATTTTTCTGATGCATAGTTTTAAATTTACAGAGATAAGGTATATCAATATCTATCGTCGAGGATCACGCTCATACTTACGTTATGTTTCTATATAATTTTATTAATTAGTTTCTAAAAGACAAGGACAATTTAAAATTATTTAAAGAGTTTTTTAAGTAGTTTTGTTTTCATGTTTATCTTCTGCAGGCTCTGAATTTCGGATATTAACAAGAAAAAGGACAAAGGAAAAAAATTTCATATACATTTGTGAGAAGATCGTTTAGCGACAATGATACATTTTTTTCCTTTTTTTTTTTACAGATGATTTATGTCACCCATTAATGTAAAGATGTCTGACTAATGAATTCAAAATATTGTGTATTTTTCTGAACTTTAATTTGTTTATATTTATATTCTATCACAAAATTGAGGGTGTCGATGATGTTCGTTAACCCGCGGATTATACACAACTTGTCAATTCCATCATTATCTCAAATATATTTGATCTTGTTGTATTACAGAGAACAATAACCTATCGACCAAGCTGGTCCGTAACTTCAGCAAGACGACATTTGCGCAGCTTCTCAAGACTGATGCAACTGTGGCTCCACTAAAGCTTTTTTATTGAACCTCATAAATTCTCTTTTATATGCTCCCTTGTTTTTTATTTATTATTTTTGGCAAGGTAGCAATTCTATAGGTCTAACTTCATGTAAGCCTCAACTTTCATTCCTTAAATGATATTTACAATTTAGCAAAAAAATATAACTAAATGTGTCATATGCAATTATGATGAATATTTTAACAAACAATTTTACGATAGACACTTCTCTTCGCAATACACAAATTTTCAAAAGACAATTCTACTTACATTTTACCCATGATACACAATATTATGATGGATAATTCTACATGCAACATGTTGGAACCTCTAGTAAATTCTACTTCTAAAATTTTGCATTTTATGAAAATCAAATCCAAATTTGGTGTTAAGAGATTAAACCCTGAACTAAACACACAATCAAAGAATTTCCACATGTAAAATTTCTAATATAAGATCTAATTGAAAGAATAAAGTAAAATTAAAAATAACAAAAGTACTTACATTTAACATATCATGTATATGTGAATCAGAAGTTTATTTTTCTTTATAAAATTTTAAAATATATATAAATGACAAAACATATAAGATTATATATATATATATATCAAATATGCATAACCAACCAAAAACCTGCGAAGTGGTCGCCTATCTTAATTACACATCTCACAGAATACCCACGAGTTTAGGACCAAAACCTTAATTTTTTTTGGCGAGGACGTATTAAATGAGATAGCTCTATTCTTATATATTGACAAATCTATATATCCACAATCCAACAATATGGATATAAAGGCATTTTCACTTTGTAAATTTATCATCCTAATAATGAGTAACGAATCTAATACCCACAGCTTTCTTCATCTTGAAATAGTATTTGAAATTTTTTGGCACACACAATGTTACCTTGTTATCGATCATTGATGTTCAACAGCAGTAAAATTTCCAAATTGATTATTTAGTTCTAAAAATTACCATATCGAATAATATAAAGATATGAAAGTAAAAAAAAAAAAAAACAGAAAGAAGAATTTAATGAGAAGGAAAAAGAAAGCATGTGGAAATAAATGAATGGGCACAACAATAAGAGCTCTGTCTCTTATAGGACAAACCAAATGTAACAAAAAAAAAATGGTTTCTCTCTATCTCTTTCTCTTCTTTAATTTCTTTCCCATTCATTTCATTAATACCACTTCACTTTCTCTGTATATATTTTTACCTCCATTTTTTTTCCCAACCAAGCATCCAAATTAGAATGAAGCTCTCTGACTGGTTGTTCAATCGAGAGAAGAAAAATTTACAAAATAAGTCATTAATAATAGGCAAAAATTAAAGATTTATGTGTGTTTTTGAAGTGTATTTGCAAATAAAATAAAAACCATCATAGTATTAAATGATGTGGGTTAGGTCATTAGGTGATGTTATTATACACAGCACATGTATTTCCAAACATATCAGAAGGGTAAACGGCCGATTTCTTCACGAACTTAGTTGCTTTATCGTATTTATACACAGAGCTTTGAGTCGTGTCTATAACTACATGAACTAAACTAAAATTTATGTTTCCTATACTCAAGTGATAAGAACCTATAGCCTATGGGTCTGACTGGTGAACGTTTAGAAGAAGAAATAATTCTTCCCATTTCTTCTGGACCCACATCTTTTTGTTTTTGTTGTAAAAGAAATTTTTTTTTTCCAGTAGAAAACTGTATTCTCTAAAATACTGAAGGTATAAATTCTTCCGACTCCTTCCAATTATTTTTCTTCTCTCTACGCACCAGTCACAGCCTATATACTCAAGTTTATAACCAGTAGAACCAACATAACTTATTACTTTAGATAGTAATCTTATCTATCTATTACTCGATCCAAATTAATCTATAAATATAACACAAACTACCCGTTTTGATCATGATAACTTATTTCAGGAAATAAGATACGAGTTACAAACTTACAATAAAACAGTTCCTTTTTTTGTGTGTAAATTACAGTATTTGTTTTAGGAATACTACTTAAAATCATCTAATAACATCCACTATGAACTTTGTTTTTATTTCAAGTAATCAACTAGAAATCTATAATGGAAATTTTTTAAAAAAGTCTCCTGGTTTGGATAATGGAAATTTATAGTTGATTAGTTGAAATTCATGAAATCAAACGATGTATTTTTTTTTTATTGATTTTAAAGAAAAAAAATAAAACGACTAGTTAGTTAATAAATATCAAACGAGTAAAATTAATTAAAAATTGGTTTGCGTGATAGAGCCGTTATTATAACGGTTAGAAAAATATCGTTGCCTAAAAACATAAAAATTCAAGTTCATCTTCATTATCTTATTCACGAGAGGAAACAAAAATACAAGTCTGACGAATTTGATTATGAATAAAGAACGAGAGAGATGGTAGCAGAAACAGAGTTTTTCCGGTGGTTTTAGAAGTTGAATTGTTTGATAGGGTTACTTTTGATTTTTCTTTCTGGGTTCTGAAATCAATCTTCAATAATTAGGAATTTGACTGAATTGCTTCGTATTAGGGTTCTTTAAAAAGATGTTTATAAAGCTTAGACGACCCTTGGTTGTGTTGTAGGTTACGCATGATCGATAAGTCGATAGCTCTGTTTTGTTATTGATGAAAAAGATTATATACGATTAGATTGATGATGTGAACAATTTGGTAGATTGTTGAGGAAGTAATCGAGAAAGTGCCTCTGTAATAACTTATACGAATACTACACCAAATTTTAATCAAATTGTCAGGTATTATTTCAAACATTCTATACTAAAGATTGAATCTTTTTGCATAATCAATCAACTTTAATGTCATGATCATCACTTCAAACATAGGTCCATTATAAAAGAAACTTTCCCAGGTTATCGGTTCGGAACCAATCCACCCAAAGTCCAAAAAAGGGTATATACAAGTCTATTCTACACAATTAAGACACGATAATCTCTCTTACAGACTTAGATTAAGGTGGAGATGTTTTTTTTAGTATGTTACTGAAACCGATTTTGGTGAATCGTAAAAAAGGGTTAAAACTTGGAAAATAAAAACTAATGCTTCTTTGGCTAGACAAGTTAGAGCAGAGGAAGATGGTTTGTTGGGTTTCTTGGTGAGTGTAGCTTTAGGACTATAAACCCTTTTGTAGCTTTGATCTAATATCCCTCTTGCTAGCTCCTACATGACTTTCTTCTTACTCCATAGTTTCTATTTTGAAACCCTATCTTCATAAGATCTTTAAGGCTTTAAAGAAGATAATTTTATAAAATCTGAATATGATTCTTGGATCTCTTAAAGCTTAGACGAGCCTTGGTTCATTCATGTTTGCGTGTTGTCTGAGACTTTAAAGCCTTGTCTGTAGTTATTATGTTTGTTAACATGTCTTTGTCTTCACTGCTTGTGTTTTCATTTGTTGCTATTCTCAATTGAGCTTGAGTTTAAGCCTTTTAGTTTTGATTGTTTAAAGATTTAATGTTTCTGACAGCATTTGTTTTGTTCCAATCACTGAAATTTGATTTATGTTTTCAATGATGTGTATACATTTTTAGGGTCTAAAAAGGAGACTGGAGGGCCTGAGAGATACATGGAAGATGAACAGATTCCCATAGACGATCTATCTTTTCAAGTTGGGTCTCTCTTTGGATTGCGAAAGCTAATTAAGTGCTATCTATGCGGTTATGTATCGTTGCTTCGTTACTGTCAAATGTTCTTTTAAATATGTAACCTGACTTAATTTCCTGTTTAGCTTTTTGATGGCCATGGAGCATCAGTGAGTAGTTTCAGTGAGTAGTGTTTATGTTGAAGAAGTGAAGAAATGTCTTCATCTAGCTTTGGTAGAGGATCGCAGCATTAGCTTCTTCTTTTGGTACCAGTACTGCTTCTTGCCACTCGTCTCGTTTTTGAGAAGGTACGTGTGTCATTCATTTAGTTCTTTAAATTCACTATCAATCTTTAGGATCTTGACAAAGCTCTTGCATTTTTTAAGATATTTCTTACATTTTATGTTTCATAGTTGGTTTTATGTATTGTTTGCATTGGGAATTTTGGTATCGGCTCTATTGCCATATACAAAACTAGATTTTACAACTATTAATTTATATAAACTGTTTTAGCTAAAGTTTAAAGAAATTTGAGTGTCAATTTGCCTCTGTGAAAACAAACCGAACATATGATATTCCGTCTAATCTTCTGGATCATTAGAGGTATCATAAGTACAATATGTTTTCATGTAAGGTGTGAATGTTAACACTTAATTTTTGATTTATTTGGCAATAAAATGTTTTTCACGTTTGTTAAATTTTACAGTTTTTCTTGGCAAATACCAAATCTTACACTTATATATTAGTTTTACACAATTACTAGGATCGGACCCGCGGTCCACCGCGGGAGAATATTGGTTTACATACGTTACGTTTAATATTGTGTGTTTTTTAGTAGAACGAATCGTGTAGTATACTTATAAATATTCATAATAACGAATTGTAGAGAAAATTTAAAATTGTTTATAAATATACCCATCGTATTAATTATGATTCACAAAATAGAATTTTGTGTTTTAAAATTCTAAAATTAGACGATTCATGGAAATTAGAGCAGTCAGAATAGGTCAAAAACCGCGGGTCGAGCCCACATCATCTCACTATGGGGTAGATTTGGGAAAATATATTAAACCCGCAAATAAGCGGGCCTCATGGATTAATTCGCAGTGGGTCATAGGTTTAATCGGTTTTTATCCGCGGGTTAGCGGATCAGCCCGCATATTAGTATTTATTGATAAAATTATAATTTATTCAACATGTGGTAATTTAAACAAAC